GACAATCGTGTTATTTTAAAGTTGTATAGTCCTTGGGCATGTGAACCTCATTTTATGACGAAGTCTGATGGAAGTATTTATTTTAGCATTAACTATTATATGTTAAATGAAGTGACAATCCCATATATGTACCCTCTGCTTCACACTACTTATCTCCTCGATCGTTTAGGGAGAAGTTGTTGGTTCACCAAGTTAGATCTTGCTCTAGATATGGATAAGTACCAATGGCTGATGAAAATATTCCCAAAATTATTTTTCATACATCATTTGGTTTATACAAGTTTTTGGTGATGGTGTTTCATTTGCACAATGCTCTAGTGACATTTTAATGGATGATGGACAAGGTTCTTTACAATATGCCAAAAATGACTACTAACTTCATTGATGATATCTTGATTGATTTGGGAGGAACACATCCGTGATATTCATAAAGTGTTGGATTGGTTGTGAGAAGTTGGTTTAAAGTTGAAGTAATCAAAGTGTGATTTAAGTCCAAGAATATCACTTATTTTAGGTATAGTATTCCTCGTGAAGGTTTGAAAGTTAATTTTAACAAATTTAAGGTTGTTTTTAAGTTCCTTACTCTAAAGTGTGTAAATGATGTGCAACACTTCTTAGGCAAGGTGCAATATCTTGGCTGTTTTATTGATCATTTTTTTTTATTTTACTACACCATTGCAAGCATTATTGAAATTGTCAATAATGTCTTTCATGTTGTCTATTAATTGTGAGCAAGCATTTATGGATCTCAAAGAGTTATTAATAACTCTTGTAGTTTTGGCATATTCTAACTACACTTAACTTTTCATTTTGCACTTGGATGCTTTTAATATTGGTCTTGGAGATGTGTTGATGCAATTGGTATTGGAGGTGTATTAATGCCTGAGTGTGCCTGATCAATACCATCCCATTGCATACATTAGCCATACATTACAACTAACAAAGGTGAACTATTCCACAATAGAGAAAGAGTGTTTAACAGTAGTTTGAGGTTTCAAGAAACTTTATACATATCTTTATGATTCTTCTATTCTATGTGGCATATGGGACATTATTGTGTGATTGAGAAACTACATAAATCTTTCTATTGGTTGAAGATATGATGTGGTCATGATCCAATATTACCAACGGAATTGAGTTTATCTTCGTGATTGCCACGAGCTATTGATGATAGATCTTGGGATTAATATTTGATGAGTCCTTAGTCCAAGTAGAGTTTGCCAAACACCTAGATTGCATTCAAGTGAGACAACAACAATGCTAAAACTCTTATCATTGTTCATTTGTAGAGTATAAAATGGATGACTTAGTATTAGTCCATTTTCCTAATCTTATGCTATGTGGTTTATTTAAAGGGCTTCTTGCTCAATGGAAGGGACTATATTAGGTGTTGTAGCAAGTTGGACCACAAATTTTTTAGGTTTGGCATAATGTTCAATAGGTCGATCCTCCAGAAATTGTGCATGTACAATGACTAAAACAATTCATATAAAGTGATCAGGAACAGCTAGCATTACCTATAGATCCACCGATGGCTCCTCCTGATGTTCCTCTAAATCCCGGCTCATCTACTAAAGGTAGTTGGATTTTGAACTGTCGAATTAGTTTCAATCCAGACAACTCGTTCCTGTATATAAGCTAGGGTTTTTGGGGTAATTGATATACACATTTATGTATTCTATTTCCATATTCCATGCACTCACATTGTGAAGAATTTATATTGAAAATTTTAAGTGCAATTAAGAAACTTTTATGAGTTTTTTCAAAAATATATTTAATGCTAAAAAAAATAGAAGAAAGTTTGATATAATAACTTTTAACTATGTGAGTACTTGAGATATAGGAATAGGTAATTGGGGTTTAGACCCCTACTTTATATATAAGAATAGATGGACCAAATTAAGTCTAAATGGATGATCCATATGCTAAAGTACTATAATTAGTATATTACCTGAGTAGGGTAATACATATATATGTGTTTACAAATCTTACACCATCCTCTCCTCAAGAAGATGAAAGGGTAATGATAATAAGTTAAATGGAACATCTGGAGCTTCTATTAGGTGATTATAAACTATTACAAAAACTTGAAACTTCCATATAACCATTAATATAGTAGTTGATAAGCATGATTGAAATAGAATCTAAACCCATGGCATAAATAATAGTTAACTGTGGAATCTCAATGAACTAGTTGGCAATTGTTAAATGCTTAAACTAACCTTGAAGCCATAACTTTGAACCAAAACAAGGGGCTTCAAGAACCATTATAGTTCATGAAATGCCATTGTAGCAATTGCCTTTAAGTTTGCGCATCAATAATCCTTTGAGACAATTATTCAAATCAATTAAATGGTAGATTAAAGGATTGTGTGAGACATAAATTCCTAAGCTCCAAAGTGGAGCCAAAAGGGTGCCACGTGGTAGGAGCCGAAGCAAAAGCCAAACAAGTGTAACACATTTGGATTGAAAGCTCCGACTTAGAAAGTTGAGAGTGGGATTGGAACTCCCAACAAAAAGCTCGAGAAGCAAGTAATAAGTGAGTCTCTAAAAAAGGGATATGAGAAGATCAACATATGACATGTGGAAATGTTGAGATCGAGTTTGAGATAGATCCGAAATGGACACCAGATGGAATCCGAGATGGACCTAAGATGGACCCGAGATAGAGTCCGAGATGGAGTCCGAAATGGACTTGAGATGGAGTCCGAGATTGAGTCTAAAATGGAATCCAAGATAGAGTTTGAGATGGACCCGTGATGGAGTTTGAGATAGAGTTTGAGAAGGACCTAAGATGGAGTTTAAGATGGACCCAAGATGGAGTCTGAGATGAACTTGAGATGGAGTTCGAGGTCAAGACTAAGACCGAGACCGAGATCGAGACTGAGACCGAGGCCAAAACTGAGACTAAGACTGAGACTAGGACTATGTTTGAGTCCAAGTCTAAATTCGGGTCTAAGTCTGAGTTCGAGTCTGAGTTTGAGGGTGAAAGCCCAAAGTGTTCATCTCTCAGACTCTAGGGGGTTTAGTGAGCTCCAAAAGTATAATAAGCAGAGGGCTCCAATGGAGCCAGTTTGGTCAAGAAAAGCCAATGTGACCAAGGAAGGTTATACCCACATGGTGGGTGATAATAAAACCATTGAGGAGTTCAAAGCTAAAGTGAATATAAATTGACAAGTGGGGTAGCTTGGTGAAATGTTCAAGAGCTAGCTTTAACTCCTCTGAGAGATTAAATTGTCGATGCTCCCAATCCAAGTGTGGGTGGCACTACTTACTTAGATACCTAGCGTGGCTCATTGGAACCTTGTTCTAGCCACATGGCTAGGGCACCTAAAGGCGAAAGGTGGGGAAAGTACTTATAAGGCTCGCATAAAGCTATGGTGTTTCGAAATGTCATCCTAAAGTCTTAGATTGTGGAAAGAAAGAAGGGTAGTCCTCTAGTATAATGACCAAAAATACTGTTACATGGTGAGGAAGTCTCAAAGGACAGTGGGACTTAGTAGTCGGGTCTTTGGGCCTTAACCCAGTGGTAGTGTGGGCAAGCACAGCTGTCAATGAAGAGAGATTTGGTGAAGATGGAAGAAGGGGCATTAAAGAAAGGTGTTCCCCATGTCTCTAGGCATTCTAAAGGTACTAAAGTGTGGTCAAGAAATAACCACTCATAGGTAGATGGTCTAGTTCTTGAGAGATAAGATTGTGATGCAAGTGGTTTTGGACTACTAATGTGACAAAGGTGAATGAGCATGGCTTTAGCGTAGTAGAATGATATGTTAGTGGTGCCTTTGAGTGTCGGTTATGGGATTGGACACGTGGAACACTTAGACCAAGTGCAAAGGTTAGGTGGCATAGATACCATTTATGAGGGTAGCATATCCCAAGTCAAGAATAGGATTTATGGAGGTCGTGAGCAAAACTCTTGCAAATGGTTAAAGGTGTGGTTAAATGACTAAAGTAAAATAGAAATTTAGTGGCTTACAAATTGATACTTACCTTGCGAAATCTCTAACTCATCTCCAAAGCTATCTCTATAATAATCAAAATCATTATCACAATTTAGAATCCATTCAAGTTTGTAAACATTATCCTCCTATAAACTTGATGTTCAAACATTTTCCAAAAGCTAGATTGCATCATCTATAATTTACCAATCAATATCATGTTCACACTCCATATAAATAGGAGATGGCAAAACACCGAAAACATGATAAGTTAAATAATCACATCCTATAAAAGATAGAGATGATAACACACCAAAGATGGGTGTAGCACTAATACAATTACACCCCACAACACCAAAAATTAAGTCCAACAAAATGATATTAACAACCTCAAGTGATATACCTCTTGATTGATGATGATATTGCATGGAAGAAAAAGAAAATGCAATGAAGATTAAAAAAAACAGCAGATCTAAGCACAAAGAAAGCTAGAATTCTAAATCTTGCAAAAAGCTAATATAAATCTAAATCTAAAAAATAATAAAGTAATAAAAACAAGAAACACAAACCCAAACACTAAAGTAAAGTACTGCCAAAAAGCTTTACCCTTCAGGAATAAATAGCAATGCTCTTCACTTCCATAAATGTGAGTGCTTAAATAAGTATGTTAATTAGGGTTTAGACTACTCTTTATATACAAGAATAAATGGACCATATTAAGTCTTAAATGGATGATCCTAGTACTAATTATCTAGGTAGGATAATACATGTATATATATATATATATATTTAACAACTCTTTTAAATTATATTTGAGCTATTTTTATTATAATTTACTATAATTATAAGATATTTATTTAAATAAATAACATGTAAAATAAAAGCCCAAAAGCACAAATATAAATGAGTTTAGCACCAATTTAATTTTCCTCTTTTTATTCTGTTCTAGTTCTCTTTATTTCTTTTACATACTAAGAAACCAAGTTACTCCTAGTTGATCTATTTATCTAGCTTCTTTTCTTTGTAACCCTTAGTGTTTTTATATTTACCTTTTTCCATTTTGGAGAATGCTAGGGTTTCCTGATGTTGCTCTGCCTTAGTGCGATTTCCCCCGTGCGGTTTTCGTTCCAGCGGCAGCAAATACCTTCAACGAGTCCTCCCGCCATTGTCCCAGGTAAGATTGTCCAAAACGTTGTGATTCCAGACCACTCTATATAGAGATTTTCAACCACGAGGCATGCTTGATCGATGCTGCCCCGGCATCCAATCGCCCCTGGTTCCCCTATAAGGACGAGTTCCATCTGGATAGACAGGAGAAGCAATCATCCAGCAGCAAAGTGGTGATTGCTTCCCTGGCCGAGTTCGTGGAAAAGCAAATGAAGGAGCGCTTTGAGCGGGTTGTGCGCAGCAGGAGCTACTCGGCGTGTTTCGTGGCCGAGGCTCTGGACAACGCGGGCAACATCGCCGCCATCTTTAGATCCGCGGAAGCGTTTGGCTTCCAGTCCGTTCATGTGATCACGTCTCTCACTGTTAAAGGGTGAGTTTTTGGAATGATGATCGAGCTTTCGTCTATATCATTTGTTGTTTTTGTGTGTGATCTTCAGGTACAAAGGTGTGAGGAGAGCACATAGAGGGACAGAACGGTGGCTAGATGTTGAGGTATGGAACTGCGCAAAAGATTGTATCCAAGCATTGAGATCTCGGGGTTACCGGATAGCAGTGACAAGCACAAGTCATGACACGGTACTAAAGCCTCTATTTTCCTCTTCTTTTTTTTTTTGTTTATGAGTTCTTCGTCCTTGCCAGGTTTCTATCTGTGATATGGACTGGACGATTCCAACTGCAGTGATTTTCGGTAACGAGCACGAGTAAGTTAGTTGTCATTGGATCTTTCTTTTCAGCTATAGAAAAGAAGCTTTCTTACGTTTGTAGTTTCTTACACGCAGGGGTGCCAGTGACTACTCCACGTCCCAGGCGGACATACTTTGCGGGATTCCAATGTTTGGTATGGTGGATTCTCTCAACGTGTCGGTCGCGGCTGGAATTCTCATGCGTCATGCCGTTTGTGACAGGATCGCTAGGAACGTAAGTTTAAAGTCACTGGAAGCGTGAGGAGTTTCTCACAGCGTTTGTGATGATCCGGCCAGGGGTTTCATGGAGATCTAGAGCCGGAGCAGCAAGAGATCTTGATGGCGGAGTTTTTCCTCCGGTACAAGCGCAACTCGGCAGACATTTTCAGCGATCTGGCCAAGAAGCGCCAACTCGATCAATACAGGAACTTTTAAAACCATCCAGTTCTTCAGGAAGAGATCGATCTTTATTGACGTTCTTCGTGGCAGCCAACCAGGTAAGTCTTCTTGGTTTTTTTTCCCCTGTTAAACGTTTCTCCTACAGTGTTCCATCTCAACTCAAAGGAACTCATTTTTCTTCCATTCCAATTTCCAACAAGATCCTGGCAATGACGTTGTAAACTCCAAGGGCCTCCCTTGGCTTGATGGATCGTGCACGCTTACACCAAACTCAGTGCCTGATTGATAGATGCATTTGCCCTCCAGGGATTTGGATCTTCAGTTTCACATCATCAAAGCCCGTTCTTCTCTTGATTGAATTCAGCGAAAGCCAAAACTACGCAGAAAAGCAAGAGGCTTAACGTTAAGACGATCGCCGCCGCAGATCCAGATATCGTCGTCGTCTCCTTATCCCGTTTGCTTGATTGATTTGAACCGTTCCTTAAGTTCCTCGAACCAAAACCAGACACTGTCCCATCAAAACCGGTGCCAAGCAAATCTGCAAGCAAGCCAGCAATTAATACTCGTCCGTCCCCATTCTCCAATACATTCACCTTTCACACCTGAAAAAGAGAGAGAGAAGAAAGAGAATATGGTATTGCCATCGATTTTCTTTCTTTTTTTTTAAATGACGCGAATCCAAAGAAACTCCGGATTCTTATTCTCCAAGAGAGATCGGAGAGATCTATTGTCTATCTGTGTATCAAAGATGAGAAACAAAAGAAATTTACAAAAGGGGGGGTTCGCCAACTTGGCCAGATGCCTATGCTCGAATCAAACAAGGCAAGCTCGCTCGCTAACTTTGTCGAGCAAAGCATGCAAAGCAAGAAAGCCATCAATCATCAAAAATGAAACCTTGATCCTCCTCCAAGAGTCCCAATTTCTTCCTCAGTCGCCTCGCCTCTCTCGTTATTTCGATCGACTCCTCCCCCCAATCTTCCTAGAAACGATCCAGCCGAGTTGTGTGAGTGAGAGTCAAGATGTTCACCATCCCAAAGTTCTAAGAACTCCGTAGAAAGTTTTACAAGTGAGTCGATCCTCCTCCTCCTCCAGGTCCTAGAAACCCCTCGTGCTGCTGCTGCTGCTGCTGGTGATGGTGGTGGTGGTGATGATCCCCGGCACCAACACCATTCCCACCGTCGGCACCCTCCCTGTTAGTCCCACTACTCGTCCGTGCCAAGCTGCCGCCACCCATCTCCTCCTCCTCCTCCACCGCCGCCGCCAAAAACTCCCGCTCCTCGTCAGTCACGAAATCATGCCGCTCCAGCTTCGCGTGCGCCGCTACGTACATCATCTTCCCCGCCCGCTCCGCCGCCACCCTCCCAAGGCCCCCAAATCCGCCTCCAAACCCTCCGCCACCTTTCCCCGCCACCTTGAGCGCCCAGCTCTTCACCCCCCCGGACGTCGCATGCAAGAAGATCAACCTCGCCGCCACCTTTCCCAGCAGCCGGAACTCGTTCAAGCACGTCTCCCACACCAGCCTCCGGCTCTGCCCGCTCATACATTTCACCCTCCCCGTCGCCGGATCCGTCTCCTTCACCTGCACCGCCTGCGCGTACAGCGGATCCAGCCCCTCGGACCGCCACTTCATGAGCTCCATGAGCACGATGTGCGCCTCCTCGCGCGAAACCAGCCGCGTGATGAGCCGATCCACGTCCTTCTCCTGCTCGGAGCTCAGGATCTTGTATGGCGGGAGGTAGCGGTTGTTTGCGTCCTTGACGAGGTAGAGCGGGTCGAGTACCAGCGCAGCCGACCACGCCGGGTGGTAGTTCGTCGTGAATCGCGCCTGGATCAGCCGCATGATCGACGCTTGATCCTTTCCATGCCGCGCGCAGCAATCCATGAGCTTGTCCCGGAGCTCCTCCCACATTGGCAGGCACTGGCTGACGAGCGGGCGCTCGGCCTCCATGTCGCGGATCATCACCGCCACCACCCGCGAGATCGCCTGGACCGCCTCCAAATCCTTCCAGAACCCCTGCGAGAGGACGATCTCCGATGCCTCGCGCGCCGCCGGGTCGTCCCCGCCAGCGTACACCATCTTGAAGGACGCGTCCGCGACGATGGCGTGGAGCGCGCGCGCGCTGGCGGCGATCCCGTCCGGGAGGAGCAGCGCCAGCGCGGGATCCACCGTGTCGCGATCGGCCGCGCTGGCGGAGGAGGAGCTCGCTGATGCTGCTGCGGTCGCCGCCGCCTCGGCGAGCTCCGCCAGGGCGCGGATCCTCGCGTAGGCGTCGCGCTGGAAGCGCTGGAGGAGCGTCCGTGCGGGGTGATTGCCCGAGAAGAAGGCGACGAGCTTGAGGCAGTCGGTTGCGACGGATCGAAAGAGCGGGGATCGCTTGGCGAAGTCGCGGAGGAGGCTGGCGAAGGCCTGTGCCTGGCAGGGGACGCTCACGATCCAGGACCGCCGGGACTCCACCTCGCGCAGCGCCTTGTTCACCGCCTTGCCCGCGTCCGCCACGATCCCCACGCAGCGCTCCGGCGATCCGCCGCACAGCGCCGCCACCGCCTCCTCGAGGATCGCCTCCACTGCCTTCGCCCCGCCGCTACCGCCGATCGGCAGCGCGCGCCAGAAGAGGCTGCTGCCATTGGGGAGATTGATCGTGATGTAGACGAGATCGCTGACGCTGGAAGGGGAGGAAGAAGGATCCATCGCCATCGCCGCCATTGCCATCGCCGCCGGGGAGGACAGCGCCAAGGAAGGAGAGATTGGAAAGATCGAGCGGCGCTTCCAGCCATCGGTGGAGATCTGGAAGAAGAGCGCGTCGCCCAGCCGAGCCTCGGATTGCCTCTTCACCTCCTCGAATCGCGCGTCCAGCCGCGGCCCCGCCAGGAGCCGCCGGCTGGCCGCGCCCTGGAGCCCGATCTGCGCGAGGAAGGCCCGGAATTTGGGATGCTCTACCACCGCCAGGGGCACGGTGGCGTGGGACTCGTAGAGCCAGTCCGCGAGGAGCGCGATGGCGGCCTCCCCTTGCTCCTTGGTGAGGCCACCGCCGCTAGAACCAGGCTTCAGTCCGGGGCTCTTGATCCGCTTCACGTTGTCCTCGAGCAGCGCCAGCGCGCCCAGATCCTCCTTGCCGCCCGAGAGGTGGAGCGGCAGCCTCTCATCCAGCGCCGCCGGTGCCGCCGCCGCGCCCGATCCCGCTGGAACCGACGATCCGGGAGCCGGTGGCGCCGCTGGCACGATCGCGAGGCTTTGCTGCTGCTGCTGCTGCTGCTGCTGTTGATTCTGCGAGGACAATGCCGCGGCGCGCTTGCGGCCGGAGGAGGATTTCGGGGTGGTGGCGGTGGCGATCGCGGCAGCGGCGGCCGCCACGCCCGCCGCTGGCGGAGGCGGGGACGATCCGAGGGGGCGGTAGGCGCCGCTGAAATTAGGGCAAGTGCCGCGCTTGAGGTGCTCGCTGGCGGTGCGCGAGGGGTTGGAGGCGGAGAACATGGCGTTGCAGAGGCCGCATCGCAGCTTCACGGCCTTGGGCGTGCCAGTGTCGGGATTGTGGACGAGGATCGGCTCCAGGTGTGACCAGTACCACGCGCCCTTGCCCTTGACGGCCTTGCTCCTCACTAGCAGCAGTCCCTCGTAGCGCTTACGCATTGTCTTGACGGTGAGATCCTCGTCTCCGCCAGCGCCGCCGCCAGCCCCGCCAGCGCCGCTACCCCCTCCGCCCCCAATCGATCCACTCCCCCCTGCTGCCCCCGCCGCCGACCCCGCCCCCGCCGCCACCGTGCCCCCCCCTGTCGTCGTTGTGGCTGCCATGTTACGCTCCTCGTCCGCGGCTTTTCTCCTGTGTATTTTTTTTTCCTTTCTTTTCTCGTATGTGCGCTTTTTTTTCTCCTCCTCCTGGGCTTTTTTTTTTCGTTGCTGGATCGTATCGAGGAGCTCGACCCAGCAGGAAATTGGAATCACTCCCGGAAGAGGAAGAAGAAGAAGAAGACGAAGAAAGAAGAACTAGAACTCACAGCTGCTGCTCCAGCGTTCCCTTCCTCCTCAATTGGACCCCTTGCTCCGCCCCCGCGGCGGCGGAGCATTCTCCCATCAATGCCGGTGTGGCCAGCCCGAGATCGAGCGTCGCCGGGGGCCCGAGCTGGGGAGAGGAGTCCGAGATCATCGCCATCGCCATCGCCTCTCTCCCCCTCTTTCTCTCCCCTCCTCTTTTTCTTGTTCTAACTCTTTGCTTCTTCCTTGTTCCTGGGCTTTTAGATTGTAGAGAGCTGTCCAAGCTTTCTTTGCTTGAGAGATTGAGCAGTCGCGATTAGCACCCAATTCCCTTGGAACCAACTCTACAACTAGAACTATACTACTACCACCTATACCTAACTGTGTGTTCTTCTCTGGTGGAGTGACTTGGAAGACAAAACCCACAGGGCACACACCACCACCGCAGCCAGCGACATCAACAACCCCCCCCTATACCGAAAAAAAAAACACACACACAACACAACACTGAGAGAAAATTTCCTCTCTTTTTTCTTATACCAAATTAAATAATAAAGGAACCGCAAAAAGAAGGGGGTATTTTTGGGCGCTACGTCTGTAGGTACTTTTAAAAATTAGAATTAAGGGAAAAAAAATGTTACAAAAAAGACCAGCCAAGAAGACGGCCTAGAAAACGCACGCACGCACGCACGCACGCACATATACTGACAACTTGTACACGGAAACAGAGAATATATACATTTCGAGATGGGGTGGGTGGTAAACCCATGATAACCATTTTCATTTTAAAATACTCATTTTTCAAAAGGTTTTGCAAAAAAGCAATTCCGGGGGTTGGTATTTTAATCGCCGAAAACTCTCGTATTATTGCGGTAATTAGTGTGCCACTTAACCTACGCGGTACGCATGCAACACAAAGGTCCCGTCCCGCAATAGAAAAGCTGCTTGCGTCCACCACCCTCGTGGTGGCCACGGTACGCGGTTGACTGGCCGGTGAAAAGTAAAAGGTATATTGGTATATTTTATTGATGGGTGTTTTTGGTTTTACTTTTTACTTTTCTCGCAAACAGAAATAAAAAGAAATGTATTTCTTTTTCTCATGTGGGCGACGAACGACGACGACTGCATTTAATGCTTATTGTTAGCGGCCAGCTTAATAAAGCAAATCAATCCATGGCGAGCTTTTAATCGAGCAGAAGGCAGTTGCTTTCATGAATCCCCTTGTCAGTCTGCTAGAACGTTCGCCAATTAGCTTAAGCTCGCATTAACGCCGCCTAATCCGCGCCATCTTCCTAATACGCCCTTTCCGTTTGTCGCTTGACTCCGGCCCGGGAATATTCGCTCCCTTCGGTGGTGGTAAAAAAAGGATTAGTAGTGCGATGCGTCGATTCACATTCTACTTATAGAGACCACCTTTTTTCCTGCGAGAGTATCAAGCCCAAGATCGGGCTTTGTTGAAAATCTTGTACACATTGGACAGTGGGGTATATAAATTTATGATTCAAGCGGATTCCACATACTGCAAAAACAGAGACGAAGATTTGTTTTAGGGGCCAAGAAAATCGGGCCTCGTATTGTTTAGTCTTGTTTAGCTTTTGCTATATAAAAAGGACCATGCGTCTTCTACTAGCATGAACGTTATACTGGCCGGGCTGGCGGCTTGCTTGAAACCGAGCCCGGGAATCTTCCTTAATCAGGGAGAGAGCCAGCCACCAACCCAAAGCGAAAAAAAGAATTAAATAGAGAAAAAAAATGTTATTTTTCTAATTTTAAAATGGCTTTGTAGTAGATGGAGTATATACTCAGATTCAGTGGCGTGTTGGCTTGTGCTGTGACGAGATCATCAAAATTAGCTTGCTTCCGACCGTTGGGTAACAGGGATGACCGCAAAACCACATCCACGACTCGCTGGAGGCCGCTAACTCGCTCGGATTCAACTCCTCTCCACTTTTTATACACAATCCGGACTTTTTCAAGCTGGATCTTGAAAATTTTGAGGCCGCGTACGGGCGGCCTCGGATCAACTGGCTGGAGGTGGCGAAGGAAAGAAGGAACTCTCATCATATGCGTTCCAGGCCCATGCAACTGGCATGGCGTCGAACCCGTACCACCTTTTCCCACTTAGGGCGCGAAGGAACGAAACCAGACGAGAAGACGCCAGCAAGCCAGCCACAACTACCAAAACAACCCCAATCAACGCAAACCAATTAAGCATTTGGTTCCAATGTATCTAAAGATTAGAGGACTGACTCACAAGGACGGCAGCTACGGAAACCCTAAGAAAGCTCGTATAGATCCAACAGAAGAGGCGCAGCTCCAAGCAGCACGGAACGGGAGCAGGACACTGAGACTATCATGGGAAATCAACGGGTGTGTTAACTTCTTCCCTTAACTTGTCTCGCATTCTGGGCCGCCGGATGGATGATAGCGCTGCCCTATGTATATAAAAAACTACATTGTCGTAGTAGCAGTAGCTACTCCAAAGACAACCCATAACAACACACAACACAATCCCCTCGTGCTGCATCAATACTTCTTTCGCCTCTCTCTCCAAACTTTCTTTGCCTGCCTTTGCGCTCATTCATGGCATCTCATCATGCTCTGTGTCCAAACTAGGCAAGCTGTGGGCTTCAATTCCCGCTCGCTTCTAGTTCCAGAAATCAGTAGAAGTTCTGTTAGGTCAGAGTACAGTTTTTTAGGGCTCCCAAAAGGTGGGTTTCAGAAGGGTTTAACGGGGTTTAGTGGGGTTTAGTGAGGTTTAGACGTAACTTGGGGGTCTTTGCATCTTAGTTTGTGATGGTAGCTAGGCATGATAACCGTCGGGGACAAAACCGATCAGGGCCATTGAATTCGCAGTGTACATCCTTCTTAGACCTAGTTACCGTGCAGTACATGGTTTTATTTTCTTTTTATCTCCTTGTTTTTTTACCCGCAACGTTGACCCGATTCGGACTGGTATTTAAGTACTTATAATGATGAACCGATTTCCCCAAATCTGCTTCGGGGTGTAAACCAGCCGGAAGAACGTATGTATGAGAGCGAAAGCTTGTATGGACACTCTTGGGTGCTTCTTGACCACGTTCTTGTTTAGGTAGTGGTTTATTGAGAGAAAATCATGCTCTGTGGAAATCGAAGGCGGAGTATTATGTATCGCTAATGTAATCATACAGTATTTTCTTAGGCAATGATACTATACAATGCGGTTCCATCATACGGAGTGGCGACACTGGAGACACAATTTGGATGGGGAAATTTGCAACTCCACACAATCATGAAGGCCTTGTGGCGCCAATTAATAAGAGCGGGGTGGAGTGCATGATTCCTGTGCGAGTTTGTGTGTGTTTGCTAAGCTTGAATTTTAGTAACATAAGAAACTTTTGTAAGCTTGGATTAGTATAAATGAAAAACGATGAAAACCAATTTGGAGCACATCCATACGTATCAAGTACTACATTGTCAATTCTTTCCACCATTCTCTTCTTTTCTTACTTTACGTGGTGCCTTCCCACTCACTGGCGTCGTACTTTTAAATATCATTTTTTTTGACCATTGGCGCGCTCGTGGCACATCGCATTGCCACGTCATCACAGCCCAGGATTTTAGGGCTCCAAGAACGCGCTCGAAGGGAGAGAGAGAGAGAGAGAGAGAGCAATGGCGAGCAGCACGGCGACGGTGGAGAGCGCCAGCGCGTTCCGCGAGGCGATCGATGCGATCCCCATGGTGAGATCTCCGTCCGGCGACATTCTCACTAAGCAGTTCCTGGACGTTTGCCGCCTTGTCCTTCCGGTGATAGGTCAGTGCCCGCGCTTGCGAATTTCCGCGGATCTGATGCTCCTTTTCTGGGAATTTCTTGTGTAGACAAGTTTGGATCTGCGATGGCGATGGTGAAATCGGACATCGGCGGCAACATCGCGGTGAGATTTCGCGAATTTGGTAGAATGTAGGTGCTGATTCGCTTGCAACCAGCGGCTAGAGACGCGCTATAACGAAGATACGTCGGGCTTGTACCTTCTGTACGACATCGTAAGGAGGGAGGTCGACGAGAAAACCGCGAAGGGGTCCAAAAGCTGTAGCAATGGCTTGCTGTGGTTAACGAGGTACTCTTCTTTTTGAGTTCTCTCTGGTAGCTAGGCCTGGGCATGGTACTTAGATTAACTCCTTGGGAGAATTCAGGGCCATGGATTTTTTGATGAACTTGTTCGACAACCTCTTGCGTCATCCCGACTGGACCATGACACAAGCCTCGACTGAGGCGTACGCCGCCACGCTTAAGAAGTACCACGGATGGATTGCAAGTGGAGCCTTCACGGTGAGTATAGCTGCTGCACAGATGTAGCCTGGTTTGGTTTATGAGTTTTCGTTTCGTCATCCTCCATGAAATTCTGTGCAGATGGCGATGAAGCTGACGCCGGAAAGGAAGAAGTTTATGGAAATGCTCGGTGGTGGCGAAAGCCTGAGCTCCGACATAGAGAAGTTTTTGTCATCGTTCTCGCCGCTTCTCCTGGAGAATCATCAGTTTTTGGTATGGTTGATTGGCTAGAGAGTTTCTGTTTGTGACAGTGGCAATCTGGTGCTTTGCAGAAAAGCGTTGGCCTCGATGACATGAAGGCGGCCTAATATGGAAATCGAGCAAATTCTTTTTATTTGACGCCGTGAAACTTTTTTGGTAGACGAAAATTTTGGCGCAATAACAGTACAAGGTTTTCTACGTTTGTTTGTCCTGCATTGCATTCTCGCATTTCACCGTCTGCTCAAAACACCAGCTTCATATTTGGACAGAACAATCTGTGGTATGTAGTTCGTTTTCCTTCTTTTGTTCGTTTTGGCCGACTGACTTCTAGTATTGAATGTTCAGGTAGAAATACGTTCCAGCCAGTATCGCAAGGCCGACAGCAATGGCAACTGGAAGCGCAGATCTGAGACAAAAAAGTTTACAGGAAAGTGAAGACGAGTCGATAAGCTCGTACCCGAGGTTGGAATTTGCTTTTTTGAGTTGCTCCTTTCGAGCTTTGCGCACGTCGGTGCTGTTTGCATTACGTGCAACAGGTTCGCCGTATGGTTTGAAGCGTCTCTTTGGAGCAAGACAGACTTTAACCAGCAAGCAGGATGTAAGAAGAAGCACGGAAAAAAACTTGAAGTTCGTCCTAACAAATCGCTACCTGGACAGGAGTAGTCGTTTGGAAGCTTTGAGAATGGCGTTCGATCGTTATAGATGTACCTTCAAGAAAAAAATCCACGAAGCATAAGGTTCCTTCTTTCATTTCTATCTAGATGTTGGCTTTTTACCCGCAATCTGAGCAGATATACGCCTTGTTCGTGGCAACTCGCATTGAAATCCTGGACGCTGCCATGGTTTGAGCTGGAGCTAATCGAGAACCAGCATTGAAGAAGCTGCTCTTGAGAGCCCATCGATCGGTGCCTCGCAATCTAATGGAGGTACAAGTGCTGTGAGATTTGCGAGGAAGAACCTGAGAGAGCGATGTGAGGGATGGCTGCTCGAGCGCCATGACGAGAACGATCTAGAAAAGAGACGAAGAAGCGTGTGTAGTGTGTGTGGCTGGCATACTTCACCCCACCTGGAATCGAACTCGCGACCTTGTTTTACTTATTATTTTTCATGGGATTCGAACTATAGATCGTAGAGCAGGGTTTAGGGCGAAAACGTCAAGTCTTTCGATGCGCTCCGGGGTGATTCGTGGCTAGTGCTTCTCTCCTAGCTCGGTCTGATCCACGCGCCAAAGCTTCATTCTCCTCATGGCCGACGGCGATGGCGCCTATCGATCGTTCCGGCAAAACACCCGCGAGCGTGAGTTCTGTGATGAATTCCGGGATCTAGGTTTGATCGTCAGTTGTCTTGCGCAGGTCTTCTACACGAGATGCTTAGATCTGCCAAGAGCACCAAGAGCGCATCGCCTTGGAAGGTAAATCTTTGCGAAACTTTCAGTGGCAGAGATGTATTGTTGACAGGTTTTGATCATGGATGAGCTCACCGTGAAAGTGATGTCGAGTTCTTGCAAAATGGCGGACATCACAGACGAGGGAGTCTCACGTTAGTTTCTCGTGGTTGATTTTCTTGATCGTTTTTCTCTCATTTCCTTTTGCTTTTGTTCCGTCCAGTGGTCGAAGATCTTAACAGGCGCAGGCAACCATTGCCTGCTCTAGACGCTGTCTACTTCATCCAGCCTTCGAGGGAAAGGTTCGCATTTGGTCTTTGTTGCTTCGTTTCTAGATTGTTGGATTTGGTAATGCAGTGTGAAGAAATTTGTCTCGGATATGTCAGGAAAGTCTCCTCTCTACAAGAAGTAAGGTAGCTAGTGTCTCCTGCTGGATACTCACCCGGGATTTATTTCTGCTTTTAGAGCTTATGTGTACTTCAGCTCCACGTTGCCACGGGATCTTCTCAAGGCAATTAAAGAGGACAGAGCTTTGATGTCACGGATTTCTGCTCTTAGAGAGGTACAGCTTGATACTTGGCTGAATTGCTGCTGATACTTCTCTCACAGGTCAATCTCGAGTACTTGGCAATCGATATGCAGGTTAGTAATGTTCTCGAGTTATTCAATCACGTAATTGAAACATCTTGAGGGCAGGGCTTTGTTACAGACAATGACAGAGCACTACAGCAATTGTTTGGCGAGCAGAAGGAGCTCGACTTTGTCCTTGATACAGTTGCGCGGCGTCTGACCACAGTATTTGCCTCTTTCAGAGTATTGCTGTTGTTATTTCAAATCACTGTGTGCTCACTTTTTCTTTGTCACAGGAGTTTCCTTATATTCGCTACCGTGCAGCAAGATCGGCAGCAGCTAATAGTACCGCTGCAACTACCAATTCTGACTTACTGCCTACAAAACTGGCTGCATGTGTTTGGGATCGTCTTATGAAGTACAAGTCGTCGCTTCCTGATTTTCCTCAAAATGAGACGTGTGACCTCCTCATACTGGATCGTGCCGTAGATCCGGTAAGTATGGTGCTTGTCAGTTCTACCTACAAACCTGACGTTTGAAGCACAGATTGCTCCCGTGATACACGAGTGGACATACGAGGCCATGTGTCATGATTTATTAAGTCTGGAGGGGAGCAAGTATACATACGAGGTAGATGTACCAAAGTTCATGGTTTATGACACTAGCGTTTTTTTTTTTTTATATAGATTACAACTAGCTCTGGTAAAAGAGAACAGAAGGAAGTTCTCCTCGAAGAACATGACCCTATCTGGGTTGAACTGCGGGATCTTCATATTGCGGAGGCAAGGTTTTCTTGCATTCAAGCTTTTTGTTATGTTAAGTGTTTCATCTTCGCACAGGTAAGCGTGAAGCTGGACGAGAAAATGAAAATGTTCGCGAATAAGAACAAAGCTGCTGAAATCAAACTTGGAGGAAGGTAGTCTCTCTAGTTCTTTTATTTCTGAGTTTTATTAACGTCTTCATTTTCCAGTGGTCAAAACATGACAACAAGAGATATGCAGAAGGTTGTTCAGGCACTTCCACAGTACCGGGATCAAATTGAAAAGCTCAGCCTTCACATTGATGTCAGTATATGCCTTCTTTTAATTTTTTGCGATAACACTAGGCAATTGCAGATTGCTACAGCCTTGAACAGTAAAATAAGGACGCATTGTCTCAGTGATGTCGCAGAGTTAGAACAAAATCTAGTATATGGAGATGCTTCAAGCAAAGAGCTCATCAACTTTCTCAGCACGACAGAGGTGCAAAATAAGAATTTCTTTTTACTACCATGGCTTGTTTTATATGATTCAAATCAGTGGTGTGGCAGAATATAAGTGCAGATTGCAAGTTGCGCTTATTGATGATTTACGCTGCCACTCATCCGGAGAAACTCGATGAATCGAAGAAACAACAATGGATGAAGGTAAATGTGTTAACTTATCCATCAGAGACGGATGTGATTGAAGCGTTTTGCAGCTAGCTAGATTAAGTGATGGCGACATGGCTGCGGTGTCCAATCTTGAGTACTTGGGGCTGTCTGTATCCAAAAAGCAGTCAGGGGGATTTGCTTTAAAGTTTTCGAAGGTACAAACGCCTCTTTGTTCTTCTTGTACTGAAGCCGATTCGTCCTTTTGCTCTTTAAGAACAAGAACCTGTACAGAAAGGAGAGGAACCAGGACGAGGAAGAATGGAAGCATTCCCGTTTTACGCCTCTACTCCAGGTTTGTCACCTTTGGTCGCTTACGACAAGTTCCCTGTAACGCGTTGTGTTTTGCAGGAGCTGGTGGAAGATATGGAGAAAGGCAAGCTCTCACTGGAAGACTATCCCTATGTGAAAGGGCCAAGCGAAGGCACTTCTGGAAAGTCTAGCAGCACGGGGTCGTCTAGATTGCCGACAGCACCACCGCAGTCCATGAGAACTTCCAAGCCAGGCTCTACGTGGGCCTCGAGACCGCGAGCCTCTGATGACGGTTACTCAAGGTAAAAGGGAGCTAATTTTCCTATGGCACTCACTTGTTTTTCCTATTCTCGCAGTGACTCTGTGTTGAAAAGCGCCCTGAGTGACCCCAAGATGATAACTGGGAAGCGCATTTTTGTGTTCGTGGTGGGCGGTATAACACACTCCGAGGTTGGATTTCGTTGTTTACGTTCCTTCTGTCTCTTAACTTTGGGTTTTGTTACTTAGTTACGTGCTGCTCACAAGTTATCCAGTCAATTGAAACGAGAGGTGGTTTTGGGATCGACTTGCATTGATGATCCTCATCAATTTGTCGCGGTAAGATGTTTCAGTCCTTTTAGCCTCTCCTACGACACTATTTTCTCACTTAGCTAACCTCGAATCCAACTTACAGAAGGTGAAGACTCTTAACGATATGGATATAATGGATTTCTGATATACTTAACATAGGTATGACTAGTTTTTTTTACATCCCGCGTTGTAGAAATAAACAGGGCCGATATGATTCTTTCTTCTTTTAACACTTCCTTCATCGCCTTTTTCTTACTACAAGGCACACACGAATTCTCCACTGCTGTCCAAGTCTGGGTCTAAGTCGTTCTCCAAATCCATGTCGTCAAAATCCAGGCCCCCGTTGTCCAGGTACTCCCGAACGCCGGGAATCCTTGCCTCGGTTATGATCCGCATTATATCCTCGATGCTCTGAGGATGGCTTGGATCGTCCACGGTGCTCGTTCCAGCATCGCTCAGCTCCGCTGGTAAGTTCTTGAGGAACCAAGGGTGGTTCTTTATACCGGCAATGTTGATCCTCTGGAGAGAACAAGAAGAAAAAGAAAGCGCTGTAAAAACCGGAGATGTGGCTTAACCCAAAGTTACCTGGTTGGGATTCCCAACAAAAATGCGGGACAAGAGATCGTGCGCCTCTGGAGAGATGTCCACCGATTGCGGGATGGAGTACTGGACGCTAAGTATTCTCTGCAAGAAGAGGAAGGAGTACTAACTCGATGAGAAGAAATCAAACTTGCAAAGCTTGTGCTCACTCCAATCGTCTTGCGAAAGTTTTTGGGATCCTCCGGGTCCTCGAAGGGGTAGGCACCGACGAGCATGACATACAGGGTGACGCCGCAGGACCATACATCTGCAATCTGAAAGGGATGATTGAATCACTGACCCACCTGCATCATCATCAGAGGAAGGACACTCTGCTCTGTGCTTCTAGAGAGTTGATAGTGCTGAGACTATGTAGCAACGCGGTGGGGTCTTACCTTCCCATCGTAGTTCTTGGTGGACAGCACCTCCGGTGCAATGTATGCCGGGGTTCCCACTGTTGACTTTGGCTGCGAATCAAAAACGGACGACTGGAAGGAGCACAAACAGGATTGGATTAGCTCCTCTTCCGGAATGCTCGATACCTTTGAGTAGCCGAAGTCACAAATTTTGAGACGTGGAGCCGGGCTGCCGTCGAGTAGCGTGTTCTCCAGCTTTAGATCCCGGTGGCAGACTTCCTAGAGTACGCTACACGTTAAGGAGAAAAGTTTGGAGAAAAGAAGTGGAAATGTTACCATGTTGTGGCAGTAACTCACACCGGAAATTAGCTGCTGAAAGAAGAACCTTGCCTACGAGAAAACGGGATTTTGACATAAAAAAAGACCAAGGTAAAAAGCCAGCAATCACCTCGTCTTCGCCAAATCTGGTCGCGTTGCAAATCCTCTCGAAGAGCTCACCGCCGGCAGCGTATTCCATGACAATGGCGAGATGAGTAGGCGTCAGCATGACCTGGTAAGAGGCGAGATAAGTCCGGGAGGAAAGAAGGAACAAAATGATCGCTATGGCGAGAAATTCCCCACCTCCTTGAAGCGCACGATATTGGGATGTCGCATTGAGCGGTGGTTGATAATCTCCCTCTGGACTTTCTCATCAATCTGGATCACAGGCACAAGAATTGGAGCCCAGATCACATATGCGCCGCGAGCTCACCTTGTCCCCGCGCTCAATGTACTTGACCGCGAACAATTCCTGTGTGACGCGATCGCGGACGAGCCTCGCCACAGCGAAATTTCCCGACCCTATGTCCCGCACCAGCTCGAAGCGCTCCGTGTCGTGGAGGAGCGGATAATCCGGACCAGCGGCGGCGGTGGCGCCCGCGGCCTCGCCCTCCACTCCGCTGTCGTCCATGGCGCCGGATCTGCGAGCCAATCCAAAAGCCCTAGCAGGAGCAAAAGCACTACCGCAGCGCACTTTGCCAGTGTATTTAGTGTATCTATTATTTTTTGGTTTTCCTTTTTCCCTTTCTCCCAAGCAACAGCTCGTGGATTGTGGATAACTACCGGTAAAACGGGTGAAACGTTTTTGTATTCCTACTTATAGATATACTTTTTATAAAATACGTATTTAGTGCTTATATTTTAAATACTTATTATAGTTTAAAGTGATGCTAAATGACAAGATTATAGTTATAGTTATGCTAAATGACAAGCTTAATTCTCAATCTTGTCGGTGCTATAACATGCCTTAACGTCCGCTGGGGTGACTTTAAAAGTGTCCATTTTAGTACAGTTCTAGTGACGAAGTGTCAAGCACTTTTGATTTTACAAAGCTCATCAAATCGGAAGAAAGGATATGTATGGCACATGAATCACTGGCGCTTTGTTCTATCCTTGGTGGACAACAAGAGTGGCTGATACACTGACGAGGATTCCTCGAGTGGAGCTAGTGGTAGCATTTGCTTCTGTGACCATGGCTCGTCTTTCACGGCACTGGAGGATGGTGATCAAGGTGGGGCGGTAGAAGAAGGAAATGGCGTGCTCACAGATGTCCGCCCAGAAATTCTTCCTGAATTCTTTTGAAGGCCGACATGGCATTTGCTAACAGGAGAAGTGGCAGTAAAACTCCAGAGCTTCAGCAGCTTCAGGAGCATTTCTTTTGCGAAGTCACTGGACGTTTGTTTCGCTTCAACGATTACATAAGTTCATTTCTCCGTTTCTCGTGAGATAGTCACCACTGAAAAGTGTGGTAGGAGACGTATGAGGGTCCAATAGAATCAAATCAACGTAAATACAAATCAATCATGGAGCTCGCCAAAGTCCACTCACGAATTATAATTGAGAGATTGAAATCTCATTACATAGAAAAGAACAAGTCAAGAAAGAAGTGATGACTTTGCTCATATCTCTTACATCTGCAGTTCTTAAGGCTTGAGCGTCGAGCCTGGTCAGAATGGACGAAGAAACTGCAATGGACCTGATCTGGATGTGGGGCTGCAGCCAGCACTTCATGGATGCTCTCGACGTTGACCGTTTTCTGGAAAGGTGAACGAGCTCTGGAGTGTGTCCCTGAGCCGCAGTGGAACCATGGAAGCAGCAAATACTTCGTCTCCGCGGTGGCTTGCTTGTGCGGATTCGGTCGCAGCGCTGAGGCTCCATGTTCCGTCTATGTTTCTCCGCTTGGGGCGCGCTGTTCTGGACTTGGTGTCCTGCATGGGTGCGCTCGAGAGCCTCCAGATTAGCGGGGGATGCTACAGCAGCGATCTTGCGCGCATGGCACCTCGCCGGCGCCTGCGGAGATCGTCGCTCTCCAGAGTCAACGCGAGGTTGCTCGAGGAGCTCCTCGCAGCTTGCCCGCTACTTGAGGAGCTCCACGTCAGGTGTCTTGACGGTCTCTCCAGGGCCCGTCTCACGGTGTCGAGCGCCAGCCTCAAGAGGTTCACCTTGATGGGGAGATGGCTGGACGGCATCTTGAGCTCTTACGGTATTTTCCTCGACACTCCCCACCTTCAAGGTTGGCAGCTTCATCTGCCTCAGTTTCCAATCGGAGAGCCTAGAAGTCCTGACGATGTACGCTCACTGCAAACTCAACAGGAAATTTGACAAGCTCCGGAGCTTGAAAATCGGGGGATACTGGGAGCTGGATGAATTGGTGAGGCTCTTCGAGCTCATGCCCACAATCACAGAGATTACCTTTGAACATCTGGAATGGAAGCACCAGAAGAGCGTTTCCCTTCTTCTGGAGCCCCTCGTCAACTTGCGAATCGTCCATTTCGTCACCGGCTGGTTACAGGTGCGTGAAGCACCTTTGCGGTCTTCTATATTTTCTACCCTCTCCTAATCTTCTTCTTGTAGGCGCTCGAATCCTCGTGACTTACATGCACTTGATTTCCACCTTTGGTTGAATGCTGTCGATTATATTGGTGATATCTCTTTCTTGAGGGGCTTGTTCAAGCACCAGGGAGCCCGTGAACTTGTGGTCCATTGCTCTGATATGATCTCGTGGAGTTCTTTCTGCGAATTCAACAGAGAAATTCCTGAAGAGTGGCAGAGCGTTCTTTTCGACTTGATGGTGTTCTATCCAGGTTGCATCTCCTTTGCCGACAAGTGAGATGAAAAACTCCAAAAGTTTTTGCAGCATCTCATTCGTGATAGTTTAATCCAGTGGCTTCTATGATCATACTCCTAGTTATGCTTTTGCTTCCAATTGACAAAATGTCAAGCACTTTGATTTTAGCGCATGAATCACTGGCGCTTTGTTCTATCCTTGGTGGACAACAAGAGAGGCTGATACACTGACGATGATTCTTCGTCTTGCGCGGCGCGTTGGCTGCTAGAAGTGCTCCCACTGCTCGTAGCACTGGAGCTAGACGTAGCATTTGCTTCTGTGACCCTTGCTCGTCTCTCCCGGTACTGGAGGATGTTGATCAAGCTGGGGCGATAGAAGAACCGGAAGAACTTGAGAGCCGCGATGGGTCCAATCCCGGCACCAACAATCAGCTAAACAAGCACAAGAAAAAGAGATTTATAAGCGTGGAAGCAAAAGAACGTGAGAACAAACGCTTACCAACATCGTGAGCCAGTATGCACGCTGGCTGCAAATGCGAAACATGATAGTGTACATGCCTCCCCATTTCACGGTGCTCGCGACCAGGTTGAAGATGTAGAAAGCGACGAGGTTGCCGCCGATGGCTATGTGCTGAATGGTCGTGAAGGAACTGCAAAAGGCGCGACGAGATCGTTGCCAGGAATTTGATGGAATGCTGATTACCTTGTTTCCAACGCGACGACGAATGCTTGGAGCCAGATGCAGCCTGATAGCGCGACAAGAGAGACCTCCTCCATTTCGCTCTTTTCATTCACGTAGACGTGCATGGTGATGAGAAAAACCACGGCGCCCTGCAAAACGAGAGCAACGATCACGGTTTATGTGGTTAAAGACGAGCCTTACGTGAAAAAGTGCCCGGCCAAACCAGCCAGCAAATGTGCTGGGATTTAAAAGCCTGAAACTACAAGTTATTGACAATGAGAGCCACTGCCACTGCCTTACCTCCCGGCTTGACAGTATTTCAATATCTGGGGATGTTGAAGGACCGTCTTCTCGTCGATGTCCTTGTCGAGGACGCTAGCCATCACAGGGACACTAGTGTACAAAACATTGTAGGCCATCAAACTGAAAGAGTTGAACAAACTCGTCCCAGATATTCCTGACACGAACGAGAAACTAGAGGAGAAAACAACCAAAAAAGGAAAAGCATCAGCGAAATCCGATATGCAAAAAGAAAAAAGCTTACAAGATCTGAATGAAGCATAAGACCAGTGATTTGTAGATTGAGTACTGTGACAAAAATGCGCTCCTATTATATGAGTATCTCCCATGTACAAGTATCAACCGCTTCAAAAATCGAAATTCTGCGACATAAGATGTTAGAAATATTGCAGCTGTATCCAAACTACTTACTGGCGAGACTGTAATCTGCTGCTCTAGCTGCCTGAAGGCCTTCACGCCCGCTTATCCCTACACCAACATGAGCTTCTTGTATCATGCGGACATCGTTTCCTCCATCTCCTATAGCGAGAGTTCTGAACTCCCAGCTTTTTACTAAATGTACAAGCTGCCAGAGACATGTCACTCAAAAAAGCATAAGAATATTTTGATTTCGAGTACCTGAGCCTTTTGTGATGGTGTTACACGGCAACAAATAGCAGTTCTGCATAGTGAAGCCACCTCAGCGAAAAGTTGTCTGTAGTACTTCAATGCAAATTCCAGTGCCAGTCCATCGATAACAAAGGCTACATCCTGATACTAAGAGAACATTAAGAGCGATGCTCATAAAAGTAGACGAGTCACCTTATGTTCAGTGCTAGATATCTGCATAGTTCGCAAGACCCTCTCCAGACTCGCTCCAACGTCACTCTGGGTCGCTCCTTGCACATACAGTAATTGTCCCTGAGGTTCTGTTAAGTAGAATTAGCATTAGATACTCCACAAAAACACCCATCCTACCCGGAAGCACGAAGTTGCACGAAAGTGCAATCTGAGCTGCTGTCAACTGCTTATCTCCCGTCAGCATCCAGAAATTGATTCCTGCATCTCGAAGGCTTTCAATGGTCTCCGCAACACCGTCCTGAAACACGCCTTATGTAGAGAAAATATATAATCAGACAGTGCTCACTTGTAACTTGTCCTCAATAGCTGTTGCACCTAAAAGCTCTAGATTACGTTCCATAAGCACGCACACTTCCGCAATCTTCCACTGAACAAGACAAATAAAATAAGATCACAAAGTTGTTAAAGGTCAAATACAGACCTCTCGATCCACGATGCTGCTGCTCGCTTCTTTAAACTTCCTCGACCAGTCATGATATTCCTCCTCTCGGATATCTCGCCAAGCCAGACATAGCGTCCTTAATCCCATCTGTGAATACTGATCGACAATCTCCGCGACACGCCTTACTTGTTGGTCTATCAAAAAATTAATCTTAGTAAATAGATGCGTCGAGGTCGAATACAAGAGCTCACCGTTATGGACTGAAGAAAAAATTGCTTCGTCAGCTCCCTTTGTTAATAGCTTCAGCTCGCCAGTCTGCCTCTCTCTTACAATTACTGACATCTTCTTACGGTCGGACGTGAATTCTAGCACGTCAAGAATGTCGAACTCCAATACCGCTCCGAGTACACTGACCTCTATAACAAACCTCAATGGTGTTAAAATAACTATGAGAATATCATCTAAATATCAGTTACCTACACAGTTAGCAGCCTTGTTAAGCAGCACGACGCGAAGATGAGAAGCAGCTGAAACAAGAGCTTCTTCGTCTTGAGATTGAGCTTTGTATGAGATCGAACCGTTTGGACTGAAAGTGAACGACAAGGTTTAGATTAATTCCTATATTTTTTGCGTACCTTCGACTTGGCACCACCGTGTTACAAACTGCCATAACTGTAAGAAACTTGAGTACTTCTGGATCATTTTCGTTTAGCGCACGAAGAAGAGCAGGATCTACACAAGATTCTTGTTTAAAATTTTGTATAAAAGAATGAAAATACCTTTGACAGCATCACGGGTTGAATCACCGTAACAGGAGCCTTTTATGCAGCATTTCTTGAACAACATCAAATTTTCGGTCAATGTACCCGTTTTATCAGTGAGAATATATTCAATTTGACCAAGATCTTCACTGATGGCCGTACTGCAGCATTGAAACGTTAGATTTTAATTCTAGAAAAAGAGTATGCAAGACAGCTTTCATACTTTGTAGCAACGGCTGGAGTATCCGTTTTCTCATCGTACATATGAAGATCCCAATCAATAAACTTGGCGTACATGCTTTTTGCCAAATCCAAGGAGACCTGACACGATACATAAGGATATCAACATTATACAGCGAAAACATACCTTAATTGAAATGGGTATCATAATCGAGCATAAAAGCTCAAACCTTAGGGGAATGACAATAAACTCGTACCAAGGGGCAGCTTTCGGATAATGGACGTACCACAGCTGCAAAGCTGACAATTTAGAGCCCACGAAAGAAAAAATTGTGCCAACCTTGTCCGCCTCAGTGGACTTCCACGCGTTTCCGGCGAAACCAAGAATGATAACCACAACCACTTGAAATACAAAAATGGCTCCGGTTAGCTTATCAATCATCGCATCGACTGCTGTAAGTTTTGGCGATGGCAAACCTCTGCTCATCCCAAGCTTAGTCTCATTGCCTGTAAAGAAGGTTTGTTTTCCTTAAGCAGATTAAAAAAAATACCTGTATACACAGCCACTCCGCATGCCCACTCAGTGTTTCTAATGAAACAGGATTGCAACAACGTGTTGTTGACAGTGATTGGGAAGTAGTCCGTGTCGATAAAAGGAGGAAACAACCTGAGGTTGGCATCAAGTCTTCGAATATCTCTGTCCGGATATCCGCATTCAATAATACCCTTAAGATCAAACATATGTAAGTTCCTAAAAAGACTAAGAAGAAAGTTCTACCTTGATTTTGTGAAGGAGCTCGGAGTTAAGCCCAATGCAAGGAGACGGGACAACTCGGGTCTTCAAATCAGTTTCTCCATCAATGGTTGACGTCTGAAAAGAGAGAAGAAACAGAAGAGATCCAAGAGATCCAAGAAAAATAAAAACAGCCAATGTACCTCAATGTAGCAAACACCTTGAGGATCTGACGATCCCAGTAAGATCATATCGCACGGAACTTCATCCTTTTCCCGCAACCAGACGATGTCACCGACATGAATATCTTGCGCTTGGATCTATCAAAAAATAGTTAGAGCAAAAACTTTACAAAACAGTGTAGTTTCTCACCCGTGTCTTGACGCCTTTCTTGACGACCCAAACCATCCTCTCATTTGCTTGCTTGTCCAGCTTATATCGGTTATAATCGTCCCAAGCTTCCTTACACGCCGAGACCGAGAAGATAAGTAGCAAAGGCCCCCAAGTGCTGGCTGGATTGACGGGAGTGATGAGAGGCCAGAGCTGGAGGATCGCAATGAGAAGGAAGTACTTGTTCATGAATCGCCTGAATCAAACAAAAGAATCATAGAATGCCGGTCCGATAGCGTGAAGCTTACCCGAATTGCTCCCATAGATTCTTGGGAAGGAAATTCCAGAGATTATACTTGGTGTTGGATACCCTGTTGTTGCAATAGAGATCGGGATAGCGATCCCCTTCGTTGATGTAGACGCAGCGGCCGCTGTTCTTCTCTTTGTTGCTGGAATCCCTGGAGATCTGGGGAGGCCGCGCATCCTCCTCGTCCTCCTTGATCTCCGCCATGCGCCTCAGGAGCTCCACGGACATCCACCAGACCTAGCTCCTCCTCCCACGCGCATTGAGTGGACTTAGTAAAATATTTAGGGTTTATAGATGCTATGGGGTCGTGGCAAGCGCGCAGGAGAGCGCTAGGCTTCGCATTCTCCGGCCGAGCGAGGATCTTCTCGACGCAGGCGAGAATTTCGAGCTCGCCGCTGGATGGCCGGGCGCTGCATCCTGCATTGCTGCCGGCTGTGAAGGAGCCAGGTTTGATCGATTGGAAGCGTGCTGCTCGTTGTATTTTGTGATTCTTTCAGGACATTCTCGTATCGATGCGTTCGAGTGGACTTCTTTGCTGCGAAACCAGCAGGTAAGTGCGTGGATTGGAAGCCAAGTCATCGATGCTTAGCGTCTATGTTTTATATTGTAGGTCACGTATGGTTTCTCGGCGGGATCTCTCTTCGACACTACCGGCTTGCTAAATCCTGGTAAGATTTCTGAGTGATGATGATCATGCCCATTTTCCTTCTTTCTTTCTGGCAGTGTTGATGGCCGATCTTTCCAGCCAGCAAGTGGAAACTCTCGATCAAGTAAAAGTCTATCTTCTGTTTGCTCAGAAAGCTCGAATTCACAGTTTTCCTTTAGATTCCGCAAGCTGAAACGAACAAAACTCTGGAACTCAAGCCGACTCTGAACCAGCTCGTCAGAGGCGCACGAAAGAAAAAGAAGAAGCTCTCCAAATCCCCAGCTCTGGGAGGAGCACCACAGAAGCAGGGAGTGTGCCTCCGCGTCTCCACCAGGACTCCAAAGAAGCCCAACTCGGCTCTTCGGAAAGTCGCCAAGGTTCGTCTCTCCAATCGCAACGTTGTCATCGCCTACATCCCAGGCGAGGGCCACAACCTCCAAGAGCACTCGGTGGTGCTCGTCCGGGGAGGCCGAGTGAAAGATCTTCCCGGTGTCAAGTACCACTGCATCAGGGGCGCGAAAGATCTCCAGGGCGTCGCAAACCGGAGGAAAGGGCGATCGAAGTATGGAACCAAGAAGCCCAAGCCCGTGGACAAGAGCTAGTAACTTAGCAAGAGATGGACGAGGAGGTTCGTAGTTTCTTCTCTTCTCTTTAAGAACTTATCAAATCACAGGTGTTCTACCCAAGACTCCTCTCATGTGTTTCTAAGACTGCTACCCAGGTGTTCTTTCGATTCACTCTCAGGTGTTCTTTCTATTTATCCAAGACTGCTGGTGTTTAGAGCTCCATGTCCACTATAAACTTGGATCCTCAAGGGATCGTTTTGGAACTCGATCGATCACAGGAGTTTCAAGGCCTTCTTCTAGATGGGTTTAACTGATCTGGCGGGAAAGCTTGGAATTTTGAAATTCCCTCGAGGAAGAGCGTAGGAGCCCTAGATCAGGGGTTATTTAGGGTTTTGGTGGAGAGCGATGATGGGAGCTGTTGGCGCTGGCGCTGGTCGGGAGCTCACATCGCCTCCGCCCGACGGCATTTCCAACTTGCGCTTCTCCAATCACAGCGATCATCTCCTTGTTTCTTCCTGGGATTCCGTAAGTTCTTCCTCTCTCCCTACATTCTTTTCTCTTTCTTTTTGCTACAATGTGGATCTTTCTCTTGGGCAGAAAGTCAGGCTCTACGATGCCAGCGCCAATACCTTGAAGGGCCAGTTTGAGCATAGGGGACCAGTTCTAGATTGCTGCTTTCACGACGATGCCTCGGGTTTTAGTGCCAGTGCCGACTACACTGTACGAAGGTAAAGATATCTTTCTTGAGTAGCTAGCTATCTCGTATTCTGATACTTGGCTCACAGGTACGATTTCAACACAGGCAGAGAGGACATCTTGGGTTCTCACGAGGCGTCTGTTCGCTGTGTAGAATACTCCCATCACACAGGTACTCTAGATCTTGCTAGTCGTTTCCATTGTCTCAAAAGTGTTTCTTTGTTTTGGTTCTTTATCTTTCCAGGCCAAGTTATCACAGGTAGCTGGGATAAAACTCTCAGATGTTGGGACGCCAGAGTTTTGGGAAACAAGCCACCAGTTGGAACATACCAGCAGCCAGAGCGCGTCTACTCCATGTCTCTCGTGTTCCCGCACCTGGTGGTGGCCACCGCGGGCAGGCACATCAACGTTTACGATTTGAGAAACATGTCTCGCCCCGAGCAAGAACGAGAGTCGTCTCTCAAGTATCAAACGCGATGTGTTCGTTGCTATCCCAATGGAACGGGTAAGAAGAGCCGAGGAAAAAAAAAAAAATCCGAGAGTCTTGGAGATTCTTACCAGACGTACCAAACGTTTCTGGACTAACTTTTCACTGCAGGCTATGCGCTAAGCTCCGTTGAAGGCCGAGTTGCTATGGAGTTTTTTGACATGTCTGAGGCTGGGCAAGCTAAAAAGTAAGTTCTTTTTTTTTTTCTTCGAACTTCTATCACGCAGTTTTCATTGACAATTGTACTGTCAGGTATGCTTTCAAGTGCCACAGAAATTCCGAGGCTGGCCGTGACACAGTCTATCCCGTTAATGCCATCGCTTTCCATCCAATGTGCGTGAGTCTAGAGCTTTGGTTTGTTTTGTTTTCTAAGCTCGTTCGTTCTTCCATTGAATTGCTAGATATGGGACCTTTGCAACTGGAGGCTGCGATGGATACGTAAACGTATGGGACGGGAACAATAAGAAGAGGCTTTATCAGGTTCGTCTCTTCCTTTCCAGTCGTCCTTTGATAAAAATCCGTCTTTGTAGTACTCGCGATACCCAACAAGCATAGCCGCGCTCTCGTTTAGCCGCGATGGAAGGCTCTTGGCGATTGCGTCGAGCTACACCTTTGAAGAGGGAGAAAAACCGTAAGAAACTTACGTTCGTCCAGTCTAACCTCTGGTACTTACAATCGTGAATCTCCCCTCGCAGGCACGAACCAGATGCAATCTTTGTGCGCAGTATCAACGAAGCTGAGGTGAAGCCCAAGCCCAAAGTGATCAACCCAGCGGCGTCATAGTAGCACCACCACCAGAGTGATTCTTTTTTCCTTGCTTCGTCTTAGTCCTCGAGAAGAGCACAGTGAGCACTGGAAGGCGCCCAAGTAAGACCGCCAACTTTCGTGCTGTTTTTGGCGCCTCGCCAAATGCATTCCCACTGGAGCACCAGTGGGTGATGGTTTCTAATCCCTCTTCTTCCAATGTCGAGCTTCCAGACCTCGGTGGGAGCTCCAGAGATAACGCGGTGATTCACAGAGTCTACCTTGATCTTCCCAGTGAATCCATAGAGCTGTGCTCCATGGCCGACGAGCCGGCTAAGCCTTGCCGGGAGCTGCCCGACCACGTCCCAGCTCTCGAGCTCCGGATTGAAAGCCTTGAGCTGGAGATCCTTCCAGTCCGCCACGAAGATCGCCGCCCCGGACGAAGCAACCGGGCCTCGCGTCAATCCGGCCTTGAGCTTTGGCACCATCCGGTTCCACTCGTCGCCGCTGGGATCATAGACCTGTGCCTCGATGGGCGATCCAGCTCCTTGGCAATTCTCTCCCTTGACGAACACCTTGCCTTGGTGCTCGATCCCCACGCATGATCTCATGGCGCGCTTGAGCCCAGAGATGGTTGTCCAGGAGTTCTCGCTGGGGACGAACACCTCGGCGGACGTGCCGCCAGCGACGTAGACGCGGCCCCCTACTGTCACCGCAGCGGAGTGGGATCGAGCGATTCCCATGGGCGCCATCTCCTCCCAGCGGCAGTGGCAGAAATCATACCTGTGGACGCGGCTGGATGGGATCCGGCTCTCCTCCCCGCCGATGACGAAGAGATTTCCATCGGCCACGGCGACCGTGTCGATCCGCCACCAGTCGTATGGATCGATGCGGATTCCAAGGTCTGGATCTTCGTCGTCGATGCTGTGAGGCAGCGGTGGGAGGGAGAACCACTGGCAAGTGACGGTGTCGAAAACCCTGACGCGATTGCCGTGGATCACGACGCAGACGCTGGCTTGGTGCTGGATTCTTGGCAAATGCTGGCGCTCCGAGTAGAAATCTGGCGAGGAGAGGAGTGATCGCCAGGATTTGCTCACGAGCCTGTAGGAGAAGGAATATTTCACGCACGGCAAGCGCATGAGGCAGAGGCGGGCAACGTCGTCGGGCAATCCTGGAATGAGTGACGAGGAGGAGCAAGGAGATTCTCCTCCGGCAATCGCAAACTGGAATCCATCGCAATCTTCCTCGTCTTCCTCATCTCTCACTGGCTCGAGATTTGCTCGCCGCAGCCTTCGTTCTTGCTCCGCGCAGGAGAAATTCGGGCTGTTGGAGACGTAGCCGATCCATTTGGTGTTGCATGGAGCAAGATCCTCCTTCCTTTCCCTGTGGCTGCCACTCCTGATCGGCCTGCTCGCTCTACATCCCATATCTCCCCCTCAAGAACCCTAACCTCACAAAAGCCCTAGAAATGCGAGGACGATTCTTCTCCTGATCTCCAGCGATGGCGTCGTGGTTATCATCCAAGCTCAAGGCCGCCGAGCAGCTCCTCAACCAGGTTAGATCTAGATCCCGTGTAGAAATTCACTTCTTCCTTCTCTCAGATCGATCAGCAAGCCGCGGACTCGCTCAAGAAGCCAGACAGGGATTCACAGGAGCCAGATCCTCTCTTCCAGGCCCCGATCCAGCACGAAATCCTCGGCAGCGCACCGCATCCGAAAATATTTGGCGATCCTCTCGTCCCGAGCAACAAGATCACATATCGCTCTCCAGATTTCGCTCCCTCTGGCGCTGCTCGCTCCTCATCCTCGATCCAAGGGAGCTCTACTCATCCGGAGAAGGACGATTGGACGGAGATACTGTCCGCGGCTGGGAATTCCGGGGATTGGAAGAGGCCGGCATCGAGAGAGAAGATTCAAAGGAGTGAGAGTAACAGTAGAAGGCCGAGAAAGCTCCTCGCAGCGCCAGCGAAGAGAATCAATGCCTCCAAAAAGGCGGTGGCAACACAGGAGCCTAACTCTAATGGCCTGGAGTTAGTGTCAGGCGATAAACTCGAGAGGAAAGAAGAAAACAAAGAAGGGGAAAGCGTGACGAAGGAGGTGGTGGACACTAAAGAAGATTTAGTTGGGACTGTTAACGATACCAGCACGAAAGAGGACGAGGATGCGATTGATCCGCCGACGTCACTGGAGCAAACCGAGGAAGAACTCTCGGCTTGCAAGGCTGCAATCGATGAGCGTGCATTGTTTGTCGAGAAGCTCGAGGCAGAGAAGCAAGCTTTGGAAGCTTTGCTGGACGAGCGAGAAGAACAGCAAAAGAAGGAGGTATGGCTTTTCTTTGTTTTTCTTTTCTTTGAGAATGAGTAAGTCATTACCAGGCTGCAGAGCTGAGGACGAGCATGGTGGAGCTGATCCAAGCAGCGGATTTGGAAAAGCGACGCCATAGTCATACGAGGATGGAAGCGCTGGAGAGAGAGTCCCTACTTCAGGTGTGATGCTTTAACTCGAGCTTTGTCACTCTCGTGAATCCGTTTTGTGCAGAACGAGAGTGTTGAGCTTGCTAAATGCCTGGCTGCCGCACAGAGAAAATTTGACGCAGAGGTTTGGTTTTCCTTCAAGAGTAGCTCATATAAATTTTAGCCTCAGCTTGCAGGACTTACGGATGCTCGTACTAAGCTGGAGCTCAAGAGAGTTTCCGTGTTTGGTGAGTAGGAGATATTGCCTCTTGAGAACTTCGCACTAAAGGTCTCACTTTCAGAGCTTGAGAGGAAGGCTTCACGACTTCGGTCGACCTTGGCAAATCCTTCTAGTTCTTTTCTTCCTCAAATCAGCAGTGACGTCTTTAAAGAGAAGCAAAAGGTTGCTGACGACATCGATTACTATAAAGCTCAGGTTTTCATTCTTGTATAACTTCATGCTGTAGGCACTCATTTTCCAGATTTCAGGTAGAAAACCTCCAGGCAGAAATACATGCGTCAAGAATGTCCCGGCAAATGCAGAGTGACAAGGAAAGAGAACTAGAGTCCCGTTTGATAGCACGGACCGATCATCTCATTCACACGCAAACTCAAGTAAGACAAGGCTTGTGATTCCACTTCATTGATTACAAAACGCGGTGGTACGCTTTCCAGGTTGAAGCGCTATCAACTGAGAAAGCCACGCTGATCTTTCGTCTCGAGGTAGAGCAGCACTAAAAGCACACCAAATTCTTACAGCTTTTCTTTCTCTTTCACAGGCATACTCGTCTCAGGAGAGGGCCTCGAAAACGAGAAACGAGAGCTCCGACATCGAGTTTGGACCAACTGCAAGCGGTGACGAGCTTATAAGCTGGAGCGAGATTTCCAGTAATCTCGACTCCCTCTTCATTCAAGGTACCAGAGTGTTGGGCATGAACAGAACTGTGAGATCTCTAGCCGCAGCATACTTCTTCCTGCTGCATCTCTGGGTCGTGTTCATCATTGTCAAGCATGCTCGATTCTTGCACAGATGAGAAGGAAAAGAATTCTCTTTCTTGCTACCATCAACTTCTTTCCCTGACAAGAGTTAAAACCAACGCTACGAAAGAATTTCCTTCCTAGTCAATCCTCCTCCTTTACCTCTCGTACTGTCACAAGATGCATTTACTCATCTCTCGCATCGGTATGAACGGTAGCATTCCTTCGCCAAACAGATCAACCAGTGAGTTAATGAGATCGCCCACCTCCACATCCTCCTTCCACGCCTCCGACAAAGCTCTCCTCCGCCTCTTCACGCCTTCGTCCTTGTCGTCGGCCCCGTCTTCCTCGTGCATTGATGCGTCCCCGTCGACATCTTTGCGTGTTGTTGATTGAGACTTGTTGTTAGCTGGTTTCTTCTTTGAGGGAGGAGCGGACTGGAGCATTTCATATATACAGTTTCCAGCCGCCGCCTGTGCCATACGTGAAAGTGAGTTTCCAGTTCAGGCTTGGAAAAATAAATCTACCTGAAGAGCTCCGTAGACTCTGATGGCTTCGTATCTTTTTAGCTCGTTTGCTTGATCTTGGGAAGACATTTCTGGCAAGAGCAAGTTGATGTATACTTCCAGGTTGGGAAGAATCAATAGCCGCACCTGTAAGAAGACTATTAGTTCAGTCACCGTTTCATTGTCGCATAAAAGCACACCAGTTTTGAGCCAAGAGCTGCGATTCCTTTCACAGCACCATAATGTTGTGTCATTGCCCGTTTCGGATCCAAGAAGGCGTGGAGTAAAGTTTTGGTCACGCGCGTTTGCAAGTTATAATACGCATGACCGAAGCTGCAAGTAACAAAAGTTTCAGCCACTCCAGAGAAAAACAAAAAGAGATGAGTTTACAAACCGTTTGCATATGAAGGCAATAAGTGTGGCTGTGAAGTCCCGGAGCTCCCAATGGTTGACGAAATTCTTACCACCCAGGCGCTTTGCAACGAGGCACGTCACCACAGATGGCATCAACTGATGGAGCTGCCATTCAGCAAGCCTAGACTTATCACTCGCACCATCATCAGAGCAAAACAAGTGCTTACATAAGGCTCGATATGGATGTGTGGATTCAGTAGCAGGCTGCGAGCAACGCGCATCAGAGAGAAAAGGAGCGGCAAGTCATTAAGCCCCCGTGTTACCTACATTGGACAAAAACGAAAAATAGAACTGAAAATTCAGCACTTTCGTGATCATGTGAATACCTCGTCTGCAATAAATTGCGTGAAGTATGGTACCAAAGGGTGTAAACCGGAATCAGTCGCCAAACTTGCAAAGACGTCTTTTAGTAGCACATCGTCGGCGCCAGTGACAATAAGCTCCGTGATTTTCTCAAAGTATAGCTGCCCAGAGGAAAAAATGAAAAATTTAGCAAAAGAACGACCGGTGCAATTTCCATCGTACCTGAAGTTCTCTAGAAAGAACATGTTTGACAGGAAGCTTTAGGTCCACTGTCATCTGATCAGGCTTCAATCCAGGAATGTCGGATTTCTTCACTTCCGGCGGAGCTGAAAGAGCTGCAACAGGAGTTATCAAATTGCATTCACGAGGAAAGCAAACCACTCACGATCAATGGGAACGTTCTCGGGGATGGCGGGTTGTATTCCCTCTATTGCTAGCCAGTGAGCCATGACGGCCGTGTCTAGAGGTGCTTTCGTCAAAGGAGCCTCGGTGATCTAGAGAAAAGTTTGTTAGATCAGAAGAAAAGGAAAACGAAAACGAAAACGAAAAAGTACCTCTTTACAGTCGAGCTCCCTATCATCTATGAAGAACAGATCAGAGTGACCAACAGCTCTCCGGAAGCGCAATGGATCTCCAGAGGCAAATCCATAGAGTGGCTACATAAAAATGCTAAGCAACGAACTCACGAGAAATTCGCAACTCACCTCTACATTTCTCAAGCTCAAGGCCGTATTGACATCGTCGGTGGTGAGAACGCTCCTCTTCGAGTGGCGCATGCACTTGATCGCCTCCTGGCAGCGCAAATTACCGACGATCTCAGCTCAAAATCGGCGAAATCGGTAGATCGAGGGAGAAAGAGGCCAAACCTGCATGATCTCGCGCATCCGATACTCGACATCCGGCGCAAGCGCCGCGGCGACATCATCGTGGAGATTGCTGATGCCAATGCTCTGCGCGATGACGTGAATCGTCTCCTTAGGGACGATGCTCATCGCGCGCGCTCGTCGAGAGCTAAAGCCCTAAAATCACATAAACCCTAAAACCACAGGCGATTGGGAATGGGTGAAGGAGCCGTCCAGGCCCAAATGGAGGCGCTCACGCTGGCCACCAAGAGCGGCATCGAGTGGGCGAAGTACTCCCATCGCGTCTTCATCAAGAGCATCCTAGGTCGCCCGGATGGAGGCGCGGGACTCCTGGGCCACAATGTAAGGGTTGGGGGATGGGTCAAGACCGGGCGGAGCCACGAGAAGGGGCGGCTCACATTTCTGGAGCTCAACGATGGCTCCTGCCCCGCGAATTTGCAGGTAATCTTCTCTTTGTCGCTTGGAGCTCGATCCGAGAGATTTACTGTTCGTCCGCGATTTGTTAGTGTTGAGAGCTTGTTCTGTGAAAAGCTGGTTTCTTTTCTACTGTTGCTTGTTCTTCGTTTTAAATTGTGAGAAAGGTTGTCAGTTTTCCTTATCGTGAGTGGAAAGCCATTTGCAGTCTTTGTCGCTTGGAGCTCGATCCGAAAGATTTTCTTGCGATTTGTGTTTTCGGAGAGCCTGTTCTGTGTAAAGCTTGTAATCTTTTTTTTGTCTTGCTTGTCTTCGTTTAAGTTGTGGGAAAGATTGCTAGTTTGTGAGTGGAAAGCCATGATGTGTGCGTTAGTGTGTGACTTTTTTCTCTTCTTTCTTTGCAGTACGATTGAAAGATAATTTCCTTTTTTCTGTTTGCCTTCAGGTGATTGTCGAGGATACAGTGACGCCGGATGCGCAACTTATCTACACTGGAACATGCCTCGTGGTCGAGGGGGAATTGACGCAGCCTCCTGAGACTGCAAAGAAACAAAAGGTGGAGCTGAGAGCTCAGAAGGTGCTGGAAGTTGGACCTGTCGATGCTTCCAAGTATCCGATCGCCAAGGGCCGGCATACTCTGGAGTTTTTGAGGAACTTGATGCATCTCAGGTCTCGAACAAATACGGTGAGTTTTATTTCTTTTTGTTGCTCGTTTTGACGTAATGTTGGAACTCCAGATTTCTTCGGTTGCAAGGATTCGCAACGCTCTTGCATTCGCCACCCACACATTTTTCCAACAGAATCGATTCGTGTACGTCCACACTCCGATCATCACCACCAGCGATTGCGAAGGTGCTGGCGAGATGTTCCAAGTTACAACAATGTTCTCGGAAGCTGAGAAGCGAGAGAAGGAGCTCGCAAGTACCCCGGCTCCGACTGAAGCGGACCTTGAGCAGGCAAAGGCAGAGGTTACGAAATGCGGAGAAACAGTGAAAGCGCTGAAAGCCGAGAAGAAGAGCAAAGATGAAATTGCTGCGGCAGTGTTGAAGCTTCAGACCGCTAAAGACGAGCTTGCGAAGGTGGTCGAGCGGATGAAGCTTACAGGTGGAATTCCTAAGAAGGACAAAGGAGGATTTGATTACACTGGTGATTTTTTTGGACGTCAGGCCTTCCTGACTGTCTCCGGCCAGCTCCAGGTGGAAACGTACGCATGCAGCCTAAGCAACGTTTACACCTTTGGCCCGACGTTTCGTGCTGAAAACTCTCACACAACGAGGCATTTGGCGGAGTTTTGGATGATCGAGCCGGAACTTGCTTTCGCGGATCTCCAGGTGATTGAAAATCTCCAGAGAAATTTGTATCTGTTCTGACATATGTGGTCATATCCTTTTACCAGGATGATATGAACTGTGCGGAAGACTATGTGAAGTTTCTATGCCAGTGGCTTCTGGACAACTGCTACGACGACATGGAGTTTATGACCAAGATGTGGGACAACACGGCCTTGGATCGACTGAAACTAGTTGCTTCTACGCCGTTTGCGAGGATCACGTACACACAGGCCATCGAGAAGTTATTGGAGGTTTGTTAGTTTTTTTTGTTCTTTGTTGGAAGGAAACTTACACTTGCAGATACTCAGGTGAAGGATAGAACCTTCGAGAACCCTGTTTCATGGGGAGTCGATCTGGCCTCCGAGCACGAAAGGTAGCAACCATTTAACGTGAATTTGCCTCACAGGGCATTCTATGACAGATATCTTGCTGAGGAGCTCTTCCAGAAGCCAGTGATAGTGTACAACTATCCAAAAGACATCAAAGCGTTCTACATGAGAATGAACGATGATGGCAAAACTGTGGCAGCCATGGATATCCTCGTCCCAAAGGTAAAATCCCCTTCGATTTAAAAGACGTATATGATCGTCTTTGTACCATTCCAGGTTGGAGAACTCGTTGGTGGAAGCCAGAGAGAAGAACGATACGAAGTTCTGGTGCAAAGGTATGAATTTTTCTATCCGAGTCTTGTCAAATTACTGTGAAACTTTTTTCTCCAGGCTCCAAGAGCTCAATCTTCCAACGGAACCATACGAATGGTACTTGGATCTACGACGCTATGGCACCGTGAAGCACTCGGGCTTTGGCCTTGGCTTTGAGAGAATGGTTCTTTTTGCCACTGGCCTCGAGAACATCAGAGATGTAATACCTTTCCCGCGCTACCCCGGGAAAGCCGAGTTTTAAAAACATTTAAACCCGTTTTATCCCAGCAAGTACCCTAAACAGGAATAGGGTTTTAGGATTTAGGGTTTTAGGCCGCCAGGGAGGGAAGACGATGCTGGTGCTCGTCGAGACGCCGGCGGGCTTCGCGCTCTTCAAGCTCCTGGACGAAGCGAAGCTCAACCAAGTGGATGTGAGCTAGCTCGCGCTTGGATTTATCTTGCTCACGGCCGTTCTTCTTGATCTTTGGCAGGATATCTGGAAGGAATTCGAGACGCCAGCGGCGGCCAGGCAGGTTTGGATCTCTGGCATTCTGTTGTCATTGCTGTGATATTTCTTTGGTATAGATTGTCAAGCTCAAATCTTTTCACAAGTTTGAGAACACTGCCGAAGCGCTCGGTGCCGCGACCGCCATTGTCGAGAGCAAGCTTAGTAAGGGACTGAAGAAGTTTCTCAAAGCAGAATGCCAAGGCCAGATTTTGGCCATTGCCGACTCCAAGCTAGGAAGGATCATCACCGAGAAGCTCGTGGGTTCTTTGTTTCGAACTTGGTTTTTTTGTAGGGGCTAACTGAGAGAGTTGCCAGGAAATCAGCTGCATCCACAGCAATGGAGTGATGGAACTGTTGAGGGGCGTGAGGTCCCAACTTGCAGATCTTGTCGAAGGACTGTCAAACCAGGACTTGGCCTCGATGAGTCTTGGGCTTTCTCACAGTTTGTGCAGATACACTCTCAAGTTCAGTCCTGATAAGGTGTGGCTTTGAAAAACGGTTTTTTTTCATTGGTATCTTATGTGTTCTTACTCCAGGTTGATACCATGATCGTTCAAGCTATCGGTCTCTTGGATGATCTCGATAAAGAGCTGAACACTTATGCTATGAGAGTTCGGGAGTGGTATGGCTGGCATTTTCCAGAGCTGGCAAAGATAGTCACGGACAACATTCAGTACGCGAAATCCGTTAAGCTTATGAAGAAACGGGTCAATGCACCGGACCTCGATTTCTCCGAGGTATGCTGTCTTAGTGATTTCATGCTAGTATTTACGTTTTTTCTTGCATAGATTTTGGAAGAAGAGATCGAAGTTCAACTCAAGGAAGCTGTGCCAATATCCATGGGGACAGATATAACTGAAGAAGACATGGACACGATCCAAGAGTTTTGTGATCAGGTCATCTCTTTGGCAGAATACCGGACACAGCTCTATGATTACTTGCGCAGCAGGATGAAGGCAATCGCTCCTAACTTGACGGTGCTTGTGGGAGAGCTAGTTGGTGCTCGGTTGATAGCTCATGCTGGAAGCCTTATAAACTTATCCAAGCAGCCTTCAAGCACGGTACAAATCCTTGGCGCAGAGAAGGTGGGATTTTTTTTAGTTTGCCGTGAAGTAACACTTCTTCTGGCTTTTCAGGCGCTCTTCAGGGCTTTAAAGACCAAGCAAAACACACCGAAGTACGGGTTGATCTATCATGCCTCTTTGGTGGGACAAGCACCAGCTAAGTTCAAGGGGAAGATCGCTCGGGTGTTAGCTGCAAAGACTGCACTATCTATTCGGTACGATGCTCTTGGGGAGGGTCAGGACGCCAACATCGGCATTGAGAACCGCGCAAAGGTCTCAAATTGTCATCTTTCTGTTATACGTTACTGAGATGTGGTCTATTAACCAGGTTGAAGCAAGATTGCGACAATTGGAAGGCAGGGCTCTCGGAAAAGCTAGCGGTGCAGCTAAAGGCAAAGCTAAGATCGAGGCGTACGACAAAGACCGGAAGGGCGCTACTCCAGGCTTGCTCACTGCCGCTAAGGTACGAAGAACTTTTTGCTCTTCATCTAACGAGTGTTGGATTGTTGCAGGCGTACGAGACTCAAGCAGATATAACACTTGGCGGGGGCAAACGAGAAAAGAGAAAGAAAAAAGATCAGGAAGAAGAAGCTCCAGCGACCGAGGAGCCTCCAAAGAAGAAGAAGAAGAGGACTCAAACCGCAGAGCAAGACGCTGGAGCTTCAGCCGAGCCGGAGACCCTGACTCCGAAGAAGAAGAAATCGAAGAAGGATAAATCGGAAGAAGCTGGAGCATCGACACCACTAGTAGAAGAAGTAGAAGCGCCGGCCAAGGAGAAAAAGAGCTCCAAGAAGGAGAAGAAATCCAAGGGGAAAGCTCAAGAGGAAGATCCAGCTCTGGAAGAAGAGCCCGAGAAAAAAAAGAAGAAGAAGAAAAAGATGATGATCGAAGAAGTAGAAGCTCCAGCCCCGGACTCAAGGAAGAAGAAGCAACGTAAAGAGTAAAAACCTCATTTTGGTGTAACTGTGATTTTAACTGTGACAAGGCTTTAAACTTACGCGCTATATGATCTAGGGTTTACCAGAAGCTCAGCTCTTTAGGGCTCTTATTTCTCTCTTTCTCGCGATGGACATTCTGTCTGTGCGATCAGTGCACTATGCCAAGCAGGACGAGCAAATGTACAAGCAGTGGTTTGATTTTGCGGACGAAGGTGAGCTCGCTCGATACCTCCCACGGTAATCGATATTTTGGTGGAATTTTCGCCACAGATGGGGATGGGCGTATCACCGGCGCCGATGCGGTGAAATTCTTTTCGCTCTCGCAGCTGCCGCGGTCGCATCTCAAGCAGGTATGGAATGCGGCATGGATTTGGGTCGAAACTCTTGTTCTTATTTCCAGGTCTGGGCAGTGGCGGATTCTAAGCGGCAAGGCTTTCTTGGATTCAAGGAATTCGTTGCTGCGATGCAAGTGAGTGGAGAATTTTAAGTTGTACGTCATGGTCGGTGGTTTTATGCGCTGTTGTGTCACTGGACAGATCATAGCACTAGCACAGCTCGGGAATGAAATATCCGCGGACATGCTGAGAGATAGAGGTAATTTCTGCTGTTCTTCCTGCACGCTGGCAGAATCATCTTTGTTTTAGCTTGACAGATGTCGATGAGATTAGTCCGCCCAACATGGAAGGCTTGGAACAAATGATACTGGTGTGTTTTCTATCTTCTTCCATCTTCGTTTATGATTTTTCCTTCTCTGACATGAATTTTACTGTTTGTAGGCAAGAAAGAGAGCGCCTCCGACTGGGGACGTCTTCACCAACGGTAAATATTTCGTTTCGCCTTTATCTTGTCTATTATAACAGCTTCGCTGCGCAGGCACATCTCCACAACTACAAGCAGAGACGGCCCAGTGGTTTGCGACAAAACAACCAAGAAAGGTGTTTTTTCTTCAAAGACGAGGCTTTTTACATACTTAACCAGTGTGTAATTTAGATTCCTTCGACGTCAGTAACATCAGTGGTTGATGGTCTAAAGAAACTTTACCTGGAAAAGCTGAAACCTTTGGAGGTTACGTATCGCTTCCATGATTTTGTGTCTCCTACATTGGTAAGTGGCACGTTTTTCAATCAATGAAAGGATTGACAGTGTCTGCGTTCTACAGACTGAAAGCGACTTTGATTGCAAGCCCATGGTGATGCTTCTTGGACAATATTCCACCGGGAAAACAACGTTTATTAAGCATCTATTAAGAACAAGCTATCCAGGTCGGTGGTATTGATGTATTCACTTTGGAGATGCTTACGTTTACTCTTAAATAGGCGCTCACATTGGACCTGAGCCTACGACGGATCGTTTCGTCGTTGTTATGGTGAGTAATAAAAACATCCACATCCGTAATTGACTGTGGATGTTTCCAGGATGGAACAGATGAACGGAGTGTTCCAGGAAACACGATTGCTGTGCAGGCGGACATGCCATTTAGCGGCCTTACGAAATTTGGAACTGCTTTTCTCTCCAAGTTTGAGTGTTCTCAGATGCCACATCCGGTAAGTCTAATTATCAGTCTTGCAATTGTCAAAATGGTTTCTCTTGTCAGCTACTGGAGCACGTTAGCTTTGTTGATACTCCCGGAGTGTTATCGGGAGAAAAGCAAAGAACACAACGCAGCTACGATTTTACAGGCGTTACGGAATGGTTTGCTGCCAAATGCGACCTGATACTACTGCTCTTCGACCCCCACAAGCTTGATATCAGTGACGAGTTTAAACGAGTGATTGGATCCCTGCGTGGACACGACGATAAGATCCGTGTTGTTCTTAACAAAGCCGATCAAGTCGATACTCAACAAGTAAGGCATTTGTTCTCATCCCTTGATTGACTTCACATCTTGCAGCTTATGAGGGTGTATGGAGCATTGATGTGGTCGCTCGGGAAAGTACTGAACACACCCGAAGTGATGCGTGTCTATATCGGGTACGCAAGATCTTCTTTTTCTTCTTTTGTTTTTCCTCTTCCTTTCTCTTGTGATGTAACGAGGGATTCTTTGCAGGTCCTTCAACGATAAGCCCATCAACGACCGTGCACTGGGTCCTATTGGCAAAGAACTGTTTGAGAAGGAGCAAAACGACTTACTGGCAGACCTCAAAGACATTCCAAGGAAAGCCTGTGACCGCAAGGTAAACAACACAAATTGATCCGGCCGGATGCTTACTTTTCATTGTCAGATCAACGAGTTTGTAAAACGCGCGAGAGCAGTCAAGATACACTCGTACATTGTAGGCCACCTGAAGAAGGAAATGCCGGCGATGATGGGAAAAACTAAAGCTCAGCAGCGGCTGGTGGATAACTTGGAAGAAGAGTTTAGAAAGGTTCGAGTTTTTAGTCTCGTTTGGGAATACGTATGTGACTTGTGTTCTATCCAGGTACAAAGAGAACAGCGCTTGCCTCCGGGTGACTTCCCGGACGTGGATGCCTTTAGAGAGAGGCTGAGTGGCTACAACTTCGATAAATTTGAGAAGCTCAAGCCAAGGATGATTCAATCGGTGGATGACATGCTGGGCCACGACATTCCCAACCTTCTCAAGAAATTCAGAAATCCGTACGACTAATCCGGGCTTTTGTTTAATAAAATAACTGCATAACCAAGTCAAAACTGCACTTTGACTCCTACAGCAAAGAGGGAGTGATTAAAAGGTACCATGGAATAATTCCCAAGGCAATAAGGATAATATGAACTTTAGATTAACATATCATTTACAAGATTATTAAAATCTTCACATATTGAGGGTTCATTATTCATTTATTCATAACATGTTTTTCTTTTGTCTGGTGGCATCGAGCTTGACTCTTTAATACAACAATCTCTTACATTACAAGATGGATCTTTCGTTTCTTGTTTAGTCGGTTTAATGGGAGAAAGATCAAATGTATTTTCTTCCCAGGAATCTAATTATTTCAATCAGGATTTCAAATTTTTTTAATATATGGAAACATATAAAGTACTAAGTTTTTTAAAATAAAAGTTATGAGAAAAGAGAGAACTCAATTGTTTGTTAAACCATTTGTCCAATACTTTTAGCATTTAAAGGTAAAAATTTAGTTCCTCTTAGATTTCCATATAGATTTTTGTGTTTTTGTATCATAAACAATTATATAACCCTCATTTACTACACACAATGAAAATGTCACCCAAATATTTTTCCAATATAAGTTATAAGACCATATAACCATATAATTCTTATCATATAAAACTAAATTTCCATCTTTTTGCATCCTAAGAAAACAATTAATACCTTTCCCATTAGTTTTAGTATCCCAAATTTTATTTTTTTTAAAATATAGTACCAAATTGCAATCAAGTTGCATAATCAAACTATAAACCATATTTGGAGATTGGAGAAATTCACCAGATTGAAGGCTTGAAAAAAAAGAATAATGTGGTCCACTTTTAATGCAAGTTTTGTAAATATTACAATCTGCTAAACCAAAATATTTATAATTAGGAAATATATGGTAATGTAAAATATTTTTATCAGTATCAGAATTATAATCTAAAGTATATGATAACGAATATCGCATGATAGTGTATTCAACAGAGCTATAAGTTGTAAAATCATTTATAATATAATTTATCAGTATAAAATTAAAATTATCTTCTAAAAATTTTCCTGAATTAGGTATATAAAAAATTGGGATAACACTACAAAGCATCAAATAATATTTATGATTTTGCTGTATATCAAAAGCAGTTACTGTAACAATTAGACTTTGATGTTCATCATGTATAACTTTTGAAAATGAAAATCCTAGAAAAATTTCTTTTCTTTTTCCAATTTCTTGAATAAGCTCTTTCATTATTGGTATTATAACATTTTGTCTATATTCTTTTGTAATTGCTTCTCTATATCCTTCATAAATCTTTTTAACACATGTAGTATATGAAGCTAAGTAAATCAAAATTAAAACTAAAACTATAAAGACTTTAATCCTCATTTTTATTCTATTAAGGAAAATATTTATGAATAATAAATATTGAATTCTATTAAAATTAAAATAAGTTATTAGAAAGTATTAAATTTAATACTTTATCAATTAAAAAATAATATACTAATTTTTATATTTTAATTTTTTTAAAATATTATTATTTATAATGCAGACAGCATATGAATTAAAAATTGATACTAGGCATTAAATTTCTTTTTATATATAATTCCAGTAAAACAAATTAAAAAATAAATTAATTCAAGAAGCCATCAGATTAAATTCAATCTAAACCACTCACTTAAATTAGTGTCAATTTTGTGCAGAATAGTTTAAGATTTTTTATATTTGTTTTATGGATTGAGCTTCTTGTTTTTACTTCTGTGTTTTTGTCTGTTATCAACAGTAATTGTTTTGCATCTTTATTATTATAGCAACACACATCTATAAAAAGATATTTATAAGTCATAAAAAAATTCCTTATACCAGATGTTTTTACATCTGAATTATTTATTGGTTTGATCTTTTCACAATGATGGAATGCTAAATGTGTTTACAAGAGTTTCTAAATGGTATTCCAGAATCTCTCTCTCTCACACACACACACATAGATATATATATAAATATATAACACTCATATACTCTAGTGGTATCTTTATTAATTATTATCAATAAATTAAATAAAGAGGAACAATGAACTTGCATCATTGCAATAACTCATCTCTGGCTATCTTTCCTTTTCCATGTTGTCTCACCACATGATAAATGCTTTAGCTATCACATATTTGTCATCTCTATGTATTCATTAAATATTATATTAATCAAACCCCAAAACCTCTACTTATGGGATTTGAACTCAAAATCTGCTTGGGCATCTATGGACCTAGGTTTTTGAATTAGCTGAGGGTTGAATTAGATTAATTTCTAAAGCCTTATAAAAGTAAGGTTTTGATGACTTAGAGTGTTCAACATAAATCCTTTCTTTTCCATTATTTAATATTTTAGTAGTTTCATCATCTCCCCTTCTCTTAATGACAAGCTCTTAATAGTTTGAACACTTTGATATTGATCCCTTTCTGTCTATATGCTAACCATAATGGACCTCAAGGGGAAATATTGTCAATATGGGTACTTTAACCCCCCACCTCTACCCTAAAGGGAAGACTCAAACCCCTTAGGAAGGAGTAAAAATTAATAAGCTGTATGGTACTCAAGTAAAGCACCACTCCATCTGAGTCAGAAACATTATAATTAATGTTTTTTTCAAAAGTAAAAGTTACACTTAAAGCACTTCCTTGAAAGGCTTCCCTGACATCCTTTATATCTATGCTTATTCCCACCCAAGACTACTAACCCCCAACCCCAACCTATAATTTGGAAGCCTCTTTGAGAATTCCTTTAAGATTAAGTCCTTAGCCTCATTATTCCTATGGAACTCATCTTTCAAATCGTTTTTTTTGGTTGATTATAAATTTTAGATAATTGCAATTGATATTTCATAGGACAATATAACCCTCAAGGAACATTTCCACCTTAGCCTTTATAGCAATGTTACAGATTTCATACTTTCTTATCTAAATCTAACATCTCTCACAATTGCCATTGATTTTACTATTTGTTGTGATAATTGACTACAAGAACGATAAATAGAGCATCATTATCAAACCTTATTCCTCATTCAACAGCTCTAATCTTGGAGCAATATTGTGGTGATGCATACCACTTATGGTTAATGTCCTCATCTTTGTGCTCACCCTCATGCTCATATATTGGATGTAGCACTTGCAATTTTGGAAAATGAGAACATGTAGCAGACCTTATCTCTCTCCCCTTAATTTAACTAAAAAAAGGGCAATTGCTTAATAAGAGAGCTTTTAGTGACTATTTTATCCTCATTTTTCCCCTAAAGTTCCAAGGATCTACAATGATAATATATCCAAATCTCATCCCATGATCACATGCACTACACTTACCCCCTAAATATGTCAATATCCTCATTGCTCATTGACTATTAATTAACAACCCCTATTGAGCTAAGCGGAACCAACACCTCAATTTCTGCACTGAATGTACTAATCCTTCTATTATGTAAATTAACTATTTTATGTGAAGCAACTAGTCATCCACCCATACTGCAGTCCCATAGTTGATACTTTCGTCTGTGGATGCTCTACAAATTTTGAGTATATTATATTTTAAGTAGTCACTAATCAATGAGAATTGAACCTATGCCTCCAATACCAAATATAGTATACGTGGTTTTCACTCTTTATCCTATAGTGATTTACTATAGAATAACCAAAAAGTGCAACTTAAACCATCCATATGCCATATGTCTAAGGACAGTGGAGTAGAATCTAAATTTCAGGGCCTTGGGACACTGATAAAGCAATTTGGAACAATCCTAGAACTTTGCACATCCCAATGCCAAGACTAACAAGTAAAAATGAAGTTAAATGGAGTTTGGCGCTATTTCAATATACCAGTGGTTTATATATATCTATGTGTGTGTGTGTGTGTGTGAGTCTAAGTATATGGCTATAATGCCGTATACTAATATGATAGCCATTGAATTGGTTTCAATCTAGACCACTTGCTTTTGTAGATAAACTAAGGTTTTTGGATTAATTGATATGAACATTTATGTATTTGCACTCATATTGGTGAGATGAGGGGTAGCTTTAATTGTCCCTAAGGAGTGCTTTGATTTGGGATTTTGGTTTAAATTTAACTTTTGATGATTCTCTAGAAAGTAATTGATGCATTAAATGGTAAGGATTTAATGGCATGCTTATTTACTATAACATCAATATAACTTTTTAGTCACAAACTCACAGAAGTGATGGGATCAACTAATAATCAAAATAAAATATTATGCTCTATTTGATCTTATTTTCCTTATAGCTTTTTTAATTTCTTCTTTTTTGCTTTTTTCTTTTCATTCATCTTCATGGTATAGCAGCAATGTCTTTCTTCTTTGACTTTAGAGTAGCAGTTGGTACAATTGCTTGATGCTATGTAGTTATAATTGAACAATTAGACTCAATTGATAGTTGCATTCCCAGCCAAAGTTCTTTTGTGGGAATCTTAGGGATGATATATACTATTAATTTGATCACTTTATATAATTGCCACATATCATTCTTGGGATGATACTCGACATTTGCATGAGTTTCCCATATGTCTCTAAGGGATAGCGTTATAGTGGCATAATGGTTTGAGAGTAGCCACTCATACTTATTAAAGCATTCTTTTATACATTTTCAAATGCACATTTAGACATGTTGATGATTATGATGATGCCTTCTAATAATTGCATTGTATTTGTCAATGGTCATTTGAGTTAGTGATGCAATTTGGCATTTATTTCCAAAGCCTCTTGCTTCTTGCAAAGCCAAATATGTCAAAGCAGATGAAGTTTAGAATGTTATGCAACACTTCATCAAAATTTTGTAAGACTTGTGCATGCACTTGCTCCAACCACCCTTGACAATGCTCTTTTTTTGGTATAATATTATGAGATGTCGCTTCTTCCACTTCTCACTACACGTCCTTTAACTCTAGTTCTTGTGAGAAATAGTCTTGTTCCAATAGAGGTTAAGGTTATTGTTATTTGAGTTCAAGGACAAAAGTGAGAATGTGGTTGTGGTTGTGATATCTACTGCTAGGTATGTGATGAAGTTAATTACACTTATCGATATTATTGATGTTTTCCATATTAATGACTTTTATTTTTTGGGTGGAGACCTTGGCATCAACAATATCCT